GAAGGGCTTCATTGATATTGCTTAAGAGACTATCACCTTCTTCTACAACCCTGTTTTGGTATGCTCTGCTTAGCTCCTTTTGACTGCATTTAGAATAATGAATATGTTCTGATGCTGCAAACGAGGGTTACTGTTTTATTGCGTTAACGAAACATCATATGGAATTCACTGATTAAAGACTTAAAGCGCAATCCATTTTGTTCTAAACTCTCTGGTTGTGCCATGTTTATTTTAGTGGGCATCTTTCTGGTAGTTATAAGGATTCTTTCCCTTTCATGGGTTTATGAATTGCCAGCAGCAGACCATGTTAGCAACTGAGTGCTCCTTGGCATTTTGCTCTTAAGGTATTGACCAATCCTTCGATTTCAGTCTTTTTCTTTCTCTTCCTGCTCCTTGTTTTTGCCAGCGTGTCTTAAATCTTAATTTTGGACAACTAACAGAGTGGATAAGTTAAAATAGCTTTAACATGGTAGTCTAGGACTGGTCATCCATAGCTTGTGTGAGTCAGACATTGAAAATCTCATGCTACTCAATGGCAAAAATCTGCAATTTGGTGCATGGGGTAATTTGAAAAGCCTGCCAATAGCAAGTGGATGCGTGACCGAGGTAAGTGAAGCCCATTTAACATATCTGCGTTTATGAATCAGATCCTACTCTTCTTGATGTTTGGCTCAGGTTATCTGTTCAGCTGGTGATACTTTATGCCTATGGTACCATCTCTAGTGTGATTTGATTGTGTGGTAACCACATTTATTGCTCTTAATAGTACTTATGCATAAATTGTGGTGGGGATGTACAGTTCTTGCCATCTTGTGTTGTTGGAGCTTCTCTGATATATTGGCGTAGCTGTGATTTTATCTTATGCAGGAATGGCTCGCTATCCTTCACCTTACCCAACTATGATCCGTCCAATATTTACTCCACGCCCACCTGGTGCACCAGTCATACTTCCAATGACTCGTCCTCTTGTTCCAAGTATTCCTGGCGTTCGTCCTATTATCCCTCCCATTATGAGGCCAGTTATACCTTCCGTGACACCAGCAGAGAAGCCTCAGACTACAGTCTATGTGGGCAAGATATCACCAACTGTGGAGAATGACTTTATGCTCTCTCTTCTTCAGGTTTGTGATTAAGTTTTGCCTTCTTTGACTTCATGCTTCTTGTCCATTGCGTTTTTTACTTTTTTCCTATGTTTCTTGTCATGGTTTTGCACCAGCACAGCTTAATACTTATTTAATTTATTTGATGTCTGTGACATATGGAAAACAATTCATGAAGTCTTGTGGAACTGTAAAGAGTTGGAAACGTGCTCAAGATCCTTCTGATGGGACTCCTAGAGGCTTTGGCTTTTGTGAATTTGAAAATGCCGAAGGTGTTCTCCGAGCATTACGTCTGCTCAGTAAATTTAATATTGATGGGCAAGAACTCGTGGTATGTTATATTTTGCAACTTCTGGTCAAGGATTGCTGATCTTCTGTTCACTTATTATCCGAGTACATATTACTCTCTATTTTCCGGTTTTACTTATGGATTGCAAATTGCAGTTGAATGTTAATCAAGCAACACGAGAATATCTAGATAGATATGTTGAAAAGAAAACTGAAAATTCAAAGAATCTCAGAGAAGGGGGAGCCAAGCAGGATGTTGCCCCAAATAAGGCAGAGAAGACTGAACCTTCTGAGTCATCTGAAAAGTCTGGAACTATGAAGTCTTCTCCAGATGTTTCGGAAAGTGATAATGAAAAAATTGACAAAGGTAGCCATGATCTGGCCAATTTTGGTATTGTCACCAATGAAGATAAAGAAGGTGACAAGGCAGCACAGGAGAAGCTTTCTAACATGATAGAAGAGAGACTGAAGACCAAACCTCTGCCACCACCACCACCTCCTCCTCCACCTCCGCAACTTCTTAGTGATGGTTCTGGCAATCCAAATACCGAGCAAACCAAATCAAGAGATGGGGACTCGGAAACTGATGCATTGAAAAGTGGTTAGTCCTCTGAGTGGATGTGTAAAGCTTGTTCTTCTCTATGATACGAGATAATGTTTAGTTCCACAGCGCAAAAGTGTTTATTTGATTGATTTTGCTCTTCTTCTCCATTGTCCAGATGATGCTGCTGAAGAAAAAAATAATGACGAGATGATTGGTGATTACAAAGCAGCAAGTGAACATGAAAGGCCTGAGGTAAGCTCACCAGACAGGAACAGAAGGTATGATAGAAGGGGCAGAGACAAGGAACGAGATCTTAAGCGTGAAAAAGAACGAGAGATAGAAAGATATGAGAGGGAAACAGAAAGAGAACGTATTAGAAAGGAAAGGGAACTTAGAAGAAAGGTGGAAGATGCTGAGCGTGAGTATGAAGAACGTCTAAGAGATTGGGAATATAGAGAGAGAGAGAAAGAAAAACAACGACAGTATGAGAAAGAAAGGGAGAAAGAAAGAGATCGCAAGCGGAAGAAGGAGATTCTTCACGATGAAGAAGATGAAGATGATGACTCTGGGAAAAGATGGCGGAGGAGTGTTATAGAGGAGAGGCGGAAAAAAAGACAACGGGAGAAAGAGGAGGACTTAGCTGACAGGCTAAAAGAAGAGGAAGAGATTGTCGATGCCAAGAATAAGGCTGAAGAGGAAAAATTGCTAGAGCAAGAAAAAGAGGTGCTGAAACTTCCACATGTGGATATTGTGAATGGTAGCGAGAAGCCTGCTTCGTCTGATGGAATGTTCATTGAAACTACGCATAAAGTCATTGAACAGGGCGACGAGGGTGACTCTGTCAGTGCTAATCATACAGGTGCTTCTGAGAACATTTATGCTTTGTATTTTCTTTTACTGATTCCCTTTGGTTGTTTGAACAATATGAAATTTGTTGCAACATTTTTTTGTGTGTGACAGAATTGCAACTTCACACTACAGATGATGAGGGCGTACAGAATGGTGCTGGTGAAGTTTCAACTGTGCCAATGGTTGAATCAGAAGCTCAGTGCCAGAGTGCTAATGCTCCAACAAGAAAATTGGGGTTTGGTTTAGTTGGGTCTGGGAAACGTGCTGCTGTACCTTCAGTTTTCCATGAGGAGGATGACGATCCTCATAAGGATAAAAAAATGAGGCCCCTAGTTCCCATAGATTATTCAACCGAGGAATTGCAAGCTGTTCAACCTATTACTTCTGGAGCTCAACCACCAAATCTAGTTGCTGCTGCAGAATATGCAAAGCAGATATCTAATATTGCTCCCCGGGAAGAGAAATCTGAAGTTGCAAGGGACAAAAATCAACGTTCTCATGATAGGTCTGGTCGGAGGGACAAAAATGACGAGAACAGTAATCATCGGTCCAGAGAAGAGAACAGAGAGAAGAGTGGACGCGACAGAGACAGGGATCATGGTCTAGATAAGGTGAAGACCCCAGATAAACAGAAGCTTTTAGATGCAAAACAGCTGATTGATATGATTCCAAAAACCAAGGATGAGTTATTCTCATATGAGATCAATTGGACCGTTTATGACAAGGTACGCTTCCCTGCTTCAGCTGTCGTGTATCTTAACTGTCTATTTGTCATAAAGTTTGATTAAAACATAGCACCAATGTGGTCAATGTGGAGCTAATGATTCTTGGTACGGCAGCTTTTTCACTTATGGAGCTTGAAAAGATGTTTTTATTTTATGGTCTTTCTTCTCACTTGTTTTGCAGCACTCGCTGCATGATAGAATGAGACCATGGATTTCAAAGAAGATAACGGAGTTTCTGGGAGAGGAAGAAACCACACTAGTGGACTACATTGTGTCAAGTACAAGGGAGCATGTTAAGGCTGCACAAATGCTGGAGATGCTTCAGTCCATACTAGATGACGAGGCCGAGATGTTTGTGCTCAAAATGTGGAGGATGCTCATCTTTGAGATCAAGAAGGTGGAGTCGGGCCTCGCTTTGAAGTCCAAACCATGAGGATTGTGATTCTTCTGGTTCTTACCAGGGGTGCTAATCTTCAGATGTAGGTAGGTCTCTTTAACTTGGGAATACAGACGGAGTCCTGGCCATGTATGTTCTCTGGATTTTGCTCTGGTGGGATGCTCACAAGGGAGCTTTCCCTTTTCCTGCAGGTGGTGCTTTTTCCATCAGATGAGCTGCTTTCTTGCGTTGCATATGCGAAGTTGAAGTTCGAGGGAGTAGATTTAGACGCGGAAGACAAAGATTAGATGTTGAAAAGTGACTTCGTGGCCCGCAAATCAATTGCATAGTATTTTTGGGCTGTGAAGGCGGGCGTGCAGAGCTCACTGCTCTTTGGCACATCCTTGGAAAGCGGCTGAAAACTGAGAGTGGGGTATTATTTAATATGTGCAGTTTATTTTTCACCATTAATTCGAATAAGATTTCAGTATAACAGCGTTACTTAACTACAGGTATCCACATGAATTGCAGGCAAATCTTTTTAACTTGTTTGTCAATGTCACCTCACTATTGATTTGCTTCGTTTGTTAGGTGCAATGTTGTCTGAACCAATATACCATGCGGTTCATACTTTACTGATTTAGTTGGTATTGAATTGTTAAAAAACTAGATCCGTTGATCTGACTGAAGTCGCCCGAAAAATAGAAGTTCTTATAATCCGAAAATTGAATGACTCTTTCGCGATTAACCTGTGATTTTTGGGTTGGAATGGGTGGATTAGTGGGTCGATTTGTTAGAACTGTTATTTTTCATATTTCACTCCCAAAATAATAATAATATCACTAATAAATTGGTGAGATATTTAGAAAAAAAATTCATAGGAATTTAAAAGACATGTTTGAAGTTTAAGTATAATCAAATATCATGTGTTTCTTGTGCTTGTATTACTCTTAGGGTTCGGTTAGTTTGCTAACCCGTAAGAGTTGGAAAAATGACATCCTGATATGAAATGCAACTTATAGAATTTATTAGTCGTATTAAATACACATTGGAATTAAATACATCATCTTAATTACTTACTTTTTTATAAATTTAAACCTACACTAAATATAATTCTCTCTCCCTATCTTTGATTATTCCTTTTCAGCATCCTTTTACCGCCAGACTTCCTCCGACTGCCACACTTTTCTTGTGAAATTTTGCCGATAGGCTCCCTCTGGCCACCTGCAAAAATGAACCACTACATTAAAAAAATCTACTAGTACACTGATATGTTGTACCATTACACTTAAATTCAGATATGATATTTGTACCAGTGCACTGGTAACGTTACCACTGCAATTTAAACGCAGATATGACATTTGTACCAGTGCAGTGGTATCGCTATACCAGTGCACTGGTACAAATATCATATATGAGTTTAAGTGCATTGGTACAAAAATCATAATTGAAAATCGAAAAGTCAGATCTGGAAAATGGAAAACTCATCGGGAGAGGAACATAGAAGAGGAGGGCGACGCAACGACGGGGGTTGGTGGCAGCGACGCCGGAGGATGGTGACTGTAGGACGACGATGACTGGAGAGAGGAGAATGGTAGTGGATGCGCTGGAGGAGGACAACGGCAGGAGGGATGGTGGTGACGGCGAGTAGGACAATGGACGACAACAGGGCGAGGACTGGTGACGTGGTGGTCGGGAAAAGTGGAGGAGTGGCGCAGGGGTGGTGGTGGATTGCGGCGGCAGAGAAGGGGAGTCAGAGGTGGTGGTTGCACGGAGGGGAGATGAGGAGAGTAAACGACAGCAACAAGATGAGAGGAGGGAACATAGAGGAAGATGGCTAGAGTTATAGGGAGTTTTTGTATTAAATAATGAAGAGTTTTTTTATCAATAGAAATTGTCATTATTAGAGTATTTATTATGTCAACAATATTCATTTAGTATGTCACTTTCATTAATGCTTACTAAATGATTGAGAAAAAAATGGACCAATGAGAAAGGGGTGTCAAAAATCAAACCCCATTTTGGGTAGACACTGTATCCTACCCCAGAGGGGTTTGATTTTTGTAATTTGTATTTCATTTCATTTCATTAGTATGGAGGATTTGAGAATATGTTAATTGACATGTGTTAAGTAAATTATTGTCATGCATATGTGAAGATTTGTGTTCTTTTAAAAAATATGAAACATGTTTTATATTGATTCTGAGAGCGCTCATTACCCGAAATAAACCCGAAGCCAACCGAACATGACCCGACCCGTAACTTGAGGCCTCAACCCAACCCAATTGCCCGGTCTATAAAATACTGGTGTCTAATAAACAACAATATTTTTTTTCGATCAACTTAAACAACAATATTAGACATAACCGTAAATCTCTAATTTATAAAATCGTAGACATAGCTGTAAATGCTAATAATTGTCCAAATCAAAGTTACAGAACTATTACATTGCTCAAAACAAAAGTAAATTAATTAACTAATTAAGCTCCATGCCAAATTAGGAAATTAACTAATTACTCCCTAATTTAACGTGCTAAATTAACTAGCAAAACTCGGCAAAACTGAAAGCTAATTAGAAAGCCAAAAACCAAAAGTTAATGGGTAGTTTGGCCTTGCTGTAACTTTTGTATAAGCCGCTTCTGACTGAAACTTTTAGAGAAGTACTTTTCAAATAATCAAAGTTTTTCGGGTTCGAGTTTTACCCTACCTGACAAGGTCGGATTCGGGCGGATATTCACGATTACAGATATTTTTGCCATCTCTAGGTTATGTGAAATGACTATAAAGGATTTATAATTTAAAATATGAATAAAAATTTTAAACAATAAAAAGTAGTCAATATAGATCTTGTTAGATTTCTTTTATTATAATTATGATTTTATAATTTATTTTGTTTTTATAATGATATAAATGAAATAAAATTATATTTTTTAAATAATATTAAAATATGGTAAGGATAATCTTGTATCTTCAAAATAGTTTTTCGTAGAAGCTCCAAATCGGAGTTTTTGCTTTTATGTTATACAAAAACGCTTTTCAGCTTTTCAAAAACCGAGCTTTTAGAGGCATTTAGCCATGATTCAACTTTTGAAGTCGAAAAACACTTCTAAAATCCAGGCCAAACATAGACAATGTTCTGTGACAGGACTTTAGATGTTTAGTTAGTTATTGAAAAGTTAATGGTTAATATGTGATTAAGGATAATTAGTGTATTAGTATTATTTTTAAATAAAACTTAAAATCAAAACAAAATTAAAATCAAAGTATTTCCGTCCATACTAATCAATTTTCCATATGTCAATTTATTAATTGTGGGGGAGCACCACATGGGATGGGATGACTTCTGTGGTGACTGGTGAGCAGAGATCACCAAAGAATTCCTCCTTTTAAGGGTTGCGAAAATGGCAAGTTGGCAACCCATTTATTAGCCTTCCATTCTCTTTTCTTTCTATTTTCAAATTAGTGGTACATATTGATCTAAAGGCAATTTTGAAAGAAAAACTTACTACATGGAATCCTTTCCCATTTTCCATAGAATCCCTCTTTCTTAACAAAAATAAAATAAAAACTCAAAGCCCCCTTTAACATCCCGAATCTTTTCCCGACAAGATACTGTCCGCTTTGGGCCTCTACACTTGCACGGTTTTCGACTTGGGGTGCAATTCAAAGTAACTTTCTATAAGGTCACTCATCCTTGTTGTACTCCACAATGAGCACGTTTAACTTTGGAGTTTTCACAAGAACTCCTCCATTTCGCCCCAAAACGTGTCTCGTCAGGTAAGGCTGGTTTCCTACTTATGAACCATGGATCTTTCTCGTGCTTTGTCGATGTGGGATGAGAAATTTTACAATGCTATATAGTATTGGTGCTATAGGGTTTTGCCTTTATGGTACAACTTAAAATTGTACATTTACGTTATGGTACAACTTCATATTGTACCTATACTTTTTGTACAAATTCTTTTATGTACAACTTGAACTTGTACCTTTATGTGATGGTACAACTTCAAGTTGTAAAGTTGTATCATAACATAATGGTACAACCTAAACTTATACATTTAATGTTATGGTACAACTTTAAATTGTACATTAAAGCACCATACTATATAGCATAGTAGAAGTGCTCATGTGGGATTTGCCTAAGTTGTTACATACCCCCCCCCCCCCCCCCGGGACTCAAGGTCCTCGTTGAGGTTTGCCCCACCATCGTTCAAGAGGAACGCGGAGAGACTCTGATACCACTTGTAACATCCCGAACCTTTTCCCGACAAGATACTGTCCGCTTTGGGCCTCTACACCTGCACGGTTTTCGACTTGGGGTGTAATTCAAGGTGACTTCCCATAAGGTCACCCATCCTTGTTGTACTCCACAATGAGCACGTTTAACTTCGGAGTTCTAACAAGAACTCCTCCATTTCACCCCAAAACGCGTCTCGTCAGTTAAGGCCGGTTTCTTATTTATGAACCATGTATCTCTCCCGTGCTTTGTCGATGTGGGATTTTTCTAAGGTGTTACACCCCTTATCTCTCCATTCCCTTCGTCGTCCTCTTCATCCCCTCTCACCCTATCTATAAGAAAAAACCGTAACTACTAAGGAGCTCCATCTCCGTACTACTTGACGAAAATCACTATTACGAGACTGATGGAGTGGTAATTTTTTAAACGGGGTGTTACTTTTTGCAGGTGGCCGAAAGGAGTCTAACATAAGGATTTCACTCTAGAAAGTTGGTCGGATTGAAGTGGTTGCTGGAAAAGGAAGGGAGAGTTAGAGAGAGAAATGTATTTATTGTAGAATTTAAATTTAAAAAGAATAATGTGTTTAATAGGAATTTTTAATTTCAAAAGTATAATTAATACATAAAAAATTAATTAATATGATTTTTTGTATACCCAAATTACCATTGGTTGTAAAATTCACAACCCCTATCACTCAATATTATTAAGAAAACACAACAACCACAACCCTAAGATGTCAACTAAGAAATTTAAGAATCCGTATGGGCTTAGTGAAATCACTAAAGTAACCCCTTAGTGACTAGGGATGTCAGTTGAATCCGAATCTGTGGATAATCTACCCGACCCAACCCAGTCAAAGAGGGTAAAACCCTATTTGACAGATTGTGAGTCGGGTTCGGGTTTAAACCCGCTTTACTTTTTTTGTAGGCTGGGTTTGGGTATAGCCATATCCAACCCATGGATACCTGCACCCAAGTTCATACCCCCACGACCCACGAAACCCTTAACTAATTAACTATAATTTTCAAACTTATTTTTCACACGTTCAATTAATCATATTGTTTGTATATGTTTATCTTTAATATTTAACAATTAGTATGAATGATTTGTGAGTTAGCGTGTATGTAGTAGACAATAGTAGTGAAAACTAGTGTAATTACATCTTTGTACATGAGCCCATGAGTACCCATGAACCCGCGGATACCCAGCGGGTTGGATTGGGTTTGAGTTTTCCCAATCTAGTGGATTTTACCCCGAGTTTTTTGGTGGATAAACCAATGGGTTTGGGTATGGCATATAACTCGCCCCAACCCGACCCATTGCCATCCCTAGTGACAGGGTCGTTTGATTTTGGTGATAGTTTAGGTGAGATTGTTACAATGTGTGCATTGTTAACAATGCATCATTTTTTTGGTTTATTTACTTAAACAATACAACCATTGTTTGTTGATTGGATGGAAGCTACCACTAAAAATGAGTGAAAGTAATATCTCTACTAAAACTTGAGATTGTTGAGATAGTTTGAACGAGATTATTGACTTCCTTTTTTGTTCCAAGTATACCCCTAGTTATATATATGTTCTCATAAAAGTAAGGGTAAAAGTGATATTTCCCACAAAAATAATGTAACTTGTTAAATACTAAAACAACTATCACCAAAACCAAACAATGTAAAGTACATTACATAATTTTCCTTAATGCATGTATATTACAATGCATTCATTGATGAGAGACATGTTACGGTGATTACTATTTTATAGAAATCACAAATAGTAATCACCGTGGTTACTAAAGACAAACTAGGTATGCCAAAAAATTATTAATGACTTTTTTTAACAAATTACATTTTAGAAAGTTATAAAATATATTAATTACATTTTCTCTCTCTCTCTCTCTCTCTCTCTCTTTCTCTCACTTTCACAATCTCCAGCCAGATCTCTCTTCCTTCTTTTTCTCAATCTTTTCCTTATTTTCGTTCAACCGAACTAATACTGCTGCAACAATAAAACAATACCAATCGTCCAACCCATTAGAAAAATACTACCAATGCACAAAATACCAATACCATTCGAGAAATAAAAACACTACCACTTCACAAAACACCAATACCATTGCAGATTTAATCAATATCAATACATGCTAATCAATAACATTATATGATAATCAATATCAATGCAAAATAAAAAAAATATCAATGCGAAAACACTACTACTACAAAAAAGAACATTACCTTTCCACAAAAAAAAAAAAAACAATACGCTTATATGATAATCAATACCAATGCGGAAAAACACTACCACTACGAAAAAATACTACAAATGCGGAAAAAACAATACCAATGCGAAAAAACTACCACTACGAAAAAATCACTACCAATGCGAAAAAACCCAGATCTAAAGTTTTTATTCATCCCGCCTTTTCCAGCCACAACCGTCCACCACAGCCGTCTCCCAGAGAGAGAGAGAGAGAGAGAGAGAGAGAGAGAGAGAGAGAGAGAGAGAGAGAGAGAGAGAGAGAGAGAGAGGCAACAGGAGGGTGCCCGCAGCGGTGGGCGAGGGTAGCCGGAGTGGAGGGTGGCCGCCGACAGTGGGAGGTTGGCCGAGGGTGGCTGGCTTTGGGAGGGTGGCCGCCAGCAGCAGAGGTGTTGACAGCGATAGAGAATGGTGTTGGAGTAGGGTTTAGGTATATAATATATAGAAACTAATTTTCTAAAGGATAAAAATCTTGTGTGATATTTTTTTATTCTCGAAATTACCCTAAATATAATCTTCACCGTCAAATTAAAATTAGGGTGAAATAGAGATAATGAAGTATGTAGATTTTAGTAGTCACCATAATTACTCAATTTTGAGTCATCACCCTAACGCGTTCCCATTGATCACAATGCATTGACTTAAATATCACCAAAACCAAACTACCCGATTCCTCCTAATCCCAAATCTTTATGTTTACAAACAAAATCGAAGTTTGTCAATCACCAACAACTCACCATCCTATTTCTGACTGCAGAGTGGCACACGCAACACATCCGTTTCCCTCCCAAAAGGAATTGCCAGCTTGTAGAAAAACCGCGCACCAGATCGCTAAAAGGGCAAAAGGGTAACATCGTCGGCAGAAAAGAAAAACGACGCCAGACGAGCACAATAAACGCAGGAAAACCTGCCCAAGAGAAAATTAGGACTGGCGCTTGAGTTTCTGGGCTCCGCTGCTTCTTCTGCCAAGAAGAAGAAGAGAGGGACACACGAAAACATGGCGGAAGAAGAGAGCTCGAAGAAGCGAAAAGTGGATATCAATTGGGAAGAGATTGACCGCCAGCTCGACGAGATGGATTCTCTACCGGAAGTCGTCCCGGAGAAGAAGGGAAGTCACACTGATGATCAAAACCCCCGCCAACAATGCACCCCGTCGGCGACGATGGCCTCTGAACACGACGATCATTGCATCTCCTTAAGGAAGGAGTGCGCTGAAATGACTAATGGGCAGCTGGAGGAGGCGATTTTAAGGCAAAGTAGGACTCTGAAGGCACTTGGTGGTACATTGCCAGACAGAGGGGGGAAAATCCGGGGTACCATTAGAATCATGGAAGAGGAGCGAGAGAGGAGAAAATCCGCGAGGGCGACCTTGGTTTGTCTTCGTTTCTTTCGGTTTGCCCCAAAGCAATTTGCTCTGAATCGCTCTTGCATGTGTCGGTTTTATTCCATTTTTTTTTTGTTGCTGTTTGGCAGCTTTATAAGAAAACTGGTAAAAGTGGGTTTTCTCAGATGGAACCTTGGTTTCTGTCGAGGTCATTCCTTTCGGGTGTGAATGTTTCGCCTTCGTACAATCTGTATCCACTGGACTAGAGAATTTGAGATCACTTCATGGCTGTTCATGTGCTCTTTGGTCAGTGAGATACTGCGAAGAGATGGTGGACTGTTTGATGGTGGTCACTTGGTCTGGAAACTTACATTTTGGCAGTGCTTGAACAGTTGAATGTGGACCATTGAGCTTCTGTCTACATTTGCTAACCTTAAATTAGAATTCTTTGGATCAAGGTTACTGAAATTGGATAGAAATATGAAGCTCTAGCCTCTAGGTTTCTGTGTGGTATTGACGTGCGTTAGGCATCCGTACCACTGAATGTCATTGGTTTGAATCTCCAGAATAATTTATATGGTTTATGCATTGGACAGATCATGATGTCTCTTAGGAAGTTTTCTGTTAGGAGTTAGCTTCTTTATCTATATATATGAATGCCACGTGAAGTACGCAATGATGTCTTGTTTGTTTGTGTCGTTAGAATGACCTTCCCAGCCACTTGTTAGCAATCCTGAAGAAGCAAAGTTTGTAAGTTTCTTGTCCCAAGCTGAAGGAGTTACTCATTGGTCCATCTTAATGGTAGAATGAAAGATTGTTTGACTTTTGGGGGTTCATTTTGCAGAATAGTAGATATGGAGTGTTGATTCATTTGTTTGTTTACTACTTCTGATCTCTAGTACAATATTTTGTATTGGGGCAATTCAGTTGCCACGTGTTTGTGATCAAGGGGAAGCGACATTTTTGGTTTTTGCGTAAAGGTTTTTCCTTTAATTTGGCCAATGTCCTGTTTATCCTGGTTTTTGTTCTTTGACTTCCAACTTTGCACTACAAAATTGTCTAAAAAGAGAAGAAGCATAATGAATTCCATGATGGAGTCATTATAATCTGTTGATGATAGATTTTATTTGTCATTCCGAGGTGTTAGCGCTATAAATGATGCTTTCGTTGGAGGAACTTCTTTTAAATGATTCATTCTTTCTTTCCAGGGTGTTGGTGACTCTAAGAAATCCAGACTGCTAGTAAGTACAGGTATAAACGGTGAGTATCACTGTGGGCTGCCTCTTGTTTTAAGAATCTATTCTGAGCTGAAACTAAGTTAGTGATGGCAATGGTAAATTGTAAACCGTTCAGCGAGAATACATGACCCTTCAACTTTGAAGCATGAACTTAAGAAGAATTCTGAATTCCTAAATGTGTTTTGTAGGTGCTCCAGGTGGCAGTAAAGAGATGGCATCTTCCGAAATTCATTCACAATCGCGTTTTGGCTCCCTTTTCAAGAAAAAGATGGAAGATAACGTATGCTGCTTTACTTGATATTCCTACATGACTGTTAACTCACATCCGCCCCACATATAATTTATGGTTACTGCCTTGTTATATTTCATTTAACAGGCAGATCATAAGGTTGCTAATGCATTCGATAGCGAACTATCCGCTCTGGGTACTCACAGCCGTCCAAAACTGAAACTCAATGAGGGGTTGTCACTAAATGGAAGGCAGAAAAATGGATCAAGAAAACGGAGTTTTCAATCTTCTTTTGGTTGGAAGGACAGGGGAATTTCCTCTGATTCCTTCTACAGTAAAGGGCAAAGTGCATCTAAACATTTTTCTAATGGGTAAGAAGTTCTCATCTACCATGTTTGCTTTATTGTTTATGTGTATGCTGTCCTGGTGGGTTTTGCCTACATGTCGGTGTGATTTCTGTTTCTTATCTGTGGCTAATTGTGTTGAAGGGACAGCAGCAGTTAGAACTTGGTCCCCTGTATGAATACTCATTAGATGGTTTAGTATAGGGCTTTTGGTATAGATGAAAACTAATGTGACCTGCTTTCCTCACCTTGCTTTCTATTTTCTATTTGACCTAGCTTTTGATCTAGATTTTTGTCCCGTTTAAGATGGCACACTGGATATCCAAGTATTGGTAATGATATTGGTTCCTTTCAGCCATTCTTTTCATTTTGAAATTGATGTGTCTGACTATGTCGCCCTTTATATGCACTAATGTGGAAGCAATTTTTTGCTGGGTTTGCATCAAATGCGTGTTAATCCATAATCTTATCTGCAACATTTTTTTTAGCTTATCTTTCAATCTTATGTTCCTCCTGTGTACCAGAGTGGCAAGCTTTTCTCGGATTAATGTTTATTTCCTTCATTTCAGGGTTTTAGGTAGAAAAGAGGAATCTCCGGTCCCACCTTCATATGGTCTCAGACATAGAAAGGCAAGTAGGGGAGAATACAATACCTAAACTTCTTGGCACTAAGATCTGCTGGCTATATGTAGATATACATGGTTTCTTTTCACTGCATCTTTATGTTTGGTGCTGTACTAAGAATAGATTAAATTTGAAACTTTTTGAATGTTCTTGAGGAATATTGGGTGGTTATTCTCTTAGTCTCTAATTCCATCAGCATATGCTCAGCATTGATGCCTTCCTATTTTTTGTTAGACAGCACCCTGAAGTAATGTTGTTTCCTGGTAGCATAGCGAATTGAACATTTATATTATCTAGGTGTTCATGCTGTCAGACTTCTGATCATAGAAACCAAGGACTTTTTTCTTGGATTGAAAGTGAAGAATTATTTTCTATATCTCTCAGTCGAAATCTGTGCAGCTTTTTTATTCCAATCTTCTGTGAACAGAGGGAGACTGTGGTTGTTTTGGATGATGATGATGATGAAGAAGTTCTGGAGACACTTGATTGTATAGATGAAACACGTGATGAATGGTAAGTTCAGATTCAAAGGGCGTTTTCTTTTTTGTTTGTTTTTGTTTTGTTTGGCTAGTTACCTATATTAACAACCTTTGAGTTTCCCTTTGACCTTCAGCATGAAAGATGCTAAAATCTACTACCCATCAAGGTATTTTTTAAAATTTTCTTTCTTCGGGAATAGAACCAGGAAGAGTCCAGGATACTAGTGACCTCTTACTTGATGTGGATGCAGGGATGATCCAGAGTGTGTTGAAATTTGTTTCCAGGATATAGACTGTCTGGCACCTGAAAGTTTCCTGACATCACCTATCATGAACTTTTACATACGGTAAAGGGAACTTTCATCCTGGTTACCTTTTTTTCGGTGCCAACTGATAGCTCGTACCACCGAGAGCAAAAGATACACAATGTCAAAGAACCATACACAACCTAGTAAGAATAACAAAGCCCACCATACCAGTAGAGTACACGAAAAGGGTTTTTTTTTTGCTCCTAGATGTGCTATTACCATTTTGTCGTCATTGTACATGTGTTAACAGAGTTTGGGAGCCATGGAATTCACTTTTTCATCTCAGAAGTAAGAGCAAAGGAGCTGTTTTTGGGTGTGGCTGGTTATTGTAGTGAATGTTTGAGTGTTTACACCACTTGTCCATCACTACTTGAATCTGGAAATATTGAGGTTGAGTAGCATCCATGTATTTATATGATCCTTTGTTTAGGTACCTAGAGTTGCAGGCTTCTCCATCTCAAAAGGCTACTTGTGATTATCACATATTTAATACGTTCTTCTACAAGAAGCTTCAACAGGAGTTGTCACGGAAGGTAATTGAATTGATTGCTTCAGAGAAACAGCTGTCTTGGTATGTGAATGCACTATTTTCATCTGCAATCTGTTCTCATGTGTAGGAAAGTGAAAAAGACTCCCTTTTTGTCAAGTTTAGAAGATGGTGGAGGGGTGTGAATTTATTTGAGAAGGCATATGTACTGATTCCCATACATGAAGAGTAAGTTTATTTTCAGGTTCATTGTACAATTCCTTCTGGTTGCTGACTGCTGCAAGCTTCCTGCTTCCATTTCGTATGTTTAATGGATTTAGCATTTGTTGACTGATCCTATGTGAAGCTTATTAAAATAAAAAAGGGACTTGCTTCTCAGGCTTCCTTCTTTCCCTTGATTTGGCGTAATATATATACATTTTTTCATGGGTGCTGATATATCAGTCTTCACTGGAGCTTGGTGATCATCTGTTTCCCAGAGAAGAAGGACAACAGATCAGGACCAATCGTGCTTCATTTGGACTCATTGAAGCTCCACTATAGCAGAGTTGTTTTGGAGGATATCACTAGGTGAGATAAAAATTACCTTCGAACTGTACAGACTTTTGTAGCTAGGTTTTGGTTGTTCCTGATATTTCAAACAGTTAAATAGATCTCTCACATCACAATTAGTTTCTCATTGAGTAACATCTCGTGTCATTTGCATATCAATCCACAGCTTCTTGAGAGCAGAATGGCAATATTTACGCGAAGAAGTTGTTGCTCAGTCAGATGGTGAGATGTCTGACAGAATACGGAAGCGTCTTCGCAACATTATTTCAAAAAGAATCGAGGTAATCGAATTACTGTGAGTTTGAATTTCATATGATCTTTCTATTCTAGGATTGATAGAGCCCAACAGCTCTTGTATGTCTTCTGATTTCTAAATCACAACGACTACCAGGTTCCACAACAAACAAACGATTATGATTGTGGTACCTTTGTACTTTTTTTCATGGAGCGCTTCATTGACGAGGCCCCCGAGAGGCTGAAAGAAGTTGATCTGGACATGGTATATTTTCCTACACACCCACACTCGCCCACCCATTTTTGGAAGATTTTTTTTCACTCTGTAGTTTCCTGTGCCATCTGAATAACCTAACCCAACACACATGATCATATATATATATGAACTTTTTTCTGTGTTGCAGTTCGGCAAGCAGTGGTTCAAACCTGAAGAAGCATCTGGCTTGAGAAAGAAAATCAGAGATCTGCTCAAGACCGAGTTTATCGAATCAAGAAAGGACAGCTTTGCTTGCAGATCATCGGCTGCCCCTTCCGGAGAAGTGAGAGCAGCAGAAAATGGTAATTCAGCTGAAGGATCTCTAACTTTGTACAGCTCAGATTCGGGGTAAAGAAGCACAAGGAGTTATTTAGTTATGTACATCCTGAGAAACAGAGGAAAATTGTGGATACCCATTTTCTCTCGGGCGTGAAATAATAATAGGTAGAGTAAGGTAGAGTTTTGAAGCCCCTCTTCTCTTCTTGCTTTTTCGCGGGTTTTGGCTTCATCATCAAAGTGTACACACATAGGGGAAGTACTGCAGTTGTGGGAATTTCGGCACGAAAAAACAAAGTAGTGTCCACCATTCTTAGCAGTCAAAAAGGCTGTTGTACCTCTCTGGATCATCTTTTGATACATGAAGTATAGCAGCCCTTCATTTTTTGCATTCCAGTTTTATAGGCACAGCGAAAGGTTGTCCTTGACCAGGAAAAAAGGAAGGAGGTTAGTAGTTAGTAAACAGCAAGTGGTCCGTGCTTCTACCATGGATCAAAGCAGTTCCTATGGTTCGTTTGGCTGCAACACGCCCATCCCAACTGACCCAGAGGTGTTACTGTTAGGTGTTGTTGCAGTTGAAGTGAGATCGGAGACACGAGCAGCGTGCAGGGAGGAAGGACAAAGGGCTGTTTTCTGTTTTCGCAAGGTTGAGTAGGTCGACGATGGCTTCCAACATTGAGACCGCGTCCTCCATGGCTGGTCTCTTGGCTGGCTCTTCTTCCCAGCATTGCTTCATGATCGCTGCCAGTGCCTCCGGACAGTTTCCTGGTATCTCCGGTCGTACGCTCTGCAAATTTGCCGTAGCGATTTCATTTCAGGAAACAGAATAGAGGGTATCACAATTCATCATCTGCCGGTTTTGTTTTAACCTTGTAGACGACCGGAGAAGTTTGATGAGAGAATCCCAAGTGGGCAAAGGGCGCCTCGCAGCAGTATATCTCCCACAGGCAAATGCCGAAGCTGTAAACGTCGCACTTGCTGTCGTAGGGCTTGCTCGCGAACACCTCCGGCGCCATGTAGCCAATGGTCCCGATCTGGCCGCCCATCTCGCCGGTGTTCTTTGGCTCCGCCCTGGCCACCCCGAAATCGATGATCTTCAGCTCCTTGTTGTCGGCATCGAGGACCACGTTCTCCGGCTTAATGTCTCTGTGGATCAGCTTGCGGGAGTGAAGGTAAGCCAGTCCTCTCCCGAGTTGTAGAGAGAGCTTGACCACTTTCCGCAGCCGGAGCTTCTTCCGGCGGTGCTTTTCCAGGTACGATTTCAGGGTGCCGGCTGAGTGATAGCGGGCCACCACGCAGCAAACCAATTCCTGGTTACTACTGCCGCCGGCTTGGCGGGAAACCGGGTTGTTGGTGTCGGATGTGTTTAATATCACTGCTCCTACAAACTGACGACCACAAAAATCAATATATAAATAATTAGATGAGTGCAAGTTTCTTTCTACAAAAACAAATGACGCAATTTTCATACAGATACTCTACTATTTAATAGCAATCTCATCAACAAAGTAGTCAGCGGGCTGATACAGATCTGGTCGAGTTAGTGGGTCAAAGGTAAATGGGTCATCCATTTTAGCTCGGAAATATGAAAAGAACCATTATATTGTACCTATCATGATAAACTATATCAAAACTATGGATTTCTTTTTATGTGGTATTATGCAAAGCTCTGGATTTCGGTTGATGTAGGTATCTACTCTTACATTAGGTCTAACCTATGAAAGAGCTCGAACGATTGTTATAGACCATACTTAGCACATACAATTATATCCCCCCCCCCCCCCCCCCCCCCCCCCCCCCAATATATCTAAGAAGGCAATCAGACTTCGTGATTGGTTCATCATTAAACAAAGTTTGCAAGGTTTGATTCGTTAGTGTTCGACTAATACACAACGTATTATATTTCTTTTCAAAGGAATAATTCTTCATTAACGAGATGAATTTTCAAATGCTAAATATGGGAAACGATGGAAAGTGATCAAATGGACAAGATCAAAGTTATATATATATATATATATATATATATATATATATATATATATATATGAGTATGCAAAATGTGCTGAAACTGGAAAGTGGAAGCTATGAATGAGTGGACAATAGGTGGAGTTGGGTTGTTTTTCCACAAAACTCAAACTCAATTCAGTAGGTTAAAATCCAGTAAAATAGTCACTGAGTTTTGAAAGAGGAAACTTAAATCAACTCGAGAAGCATGGGTATTCATGAGTTTGTGAAAATAATTCCAAATAATTCATCCGAACCCATGTAGTCAAAATCACGATTTAAAATTTTACGCTTTTACAATTTTTTTTTATTATCACCAAAACGCTTTTACATAGAATCACGCTTTTCATTTACAATAGTATAGTCAAAATCTACAATTTAATGTTTAAAAGCTTACGTTTTTACGTTTATAGATCACAAAAAGTCCAAAACGCTTCTACATAAAATTGGGATTTTGACTGCATTGATCCGAACACCCACATTCTTATATTCCAGAACTTTCTTACAACTATGTTGTCGTAAGGACTAATAACACCAACAACTTATCCATATTATTAGAACTATATTGTGATAAAGACTAATAACATCTATAGATTATCTAAATTATAAAATAAAAAATACGCCATTCTATTTATTGGTGCAGATCGTATAAAAAACCTACATCCTACCCTCCTTGGCAATTGCAAAAAACGATTAATATCCGCATCTTACCCAATTAACATTGGGTTTTACCCGATTTGACCATATCATATCCATTTGAATACCCATTAATCCGGTTTCAATTGAAATCCTATTAACAACACCACCAGAAACAGTATAATTTATACCATTACACCAAAAAAACAGAAAGGAAAAAAACAGGAAAAGCATTCCGAGCATTAGACGCTGGCCCGTAATCTACCATAATTTGAACAAACTTCTACTTGTTATAACCTACAAGGCACAAGTCATAACTAGTTTTGACTCTTTCGATTTCCCCCAAAAAAAATAAGTAAAAAGAAAGAAGCTTTGACCCCATTCCTACGTGTAGATGAGAAAAAATCAAGAACGCAAAAACTCAAAACTCTATGACACTGGAGATTAATATATATTCACGGCTATCTCAAACTCTATTCTTGGATTATTGTAAGAAATCAATCAAAGTCTGGTACTCTTGTAGTTCAGTTAGATGGATTCATTTTTTGTATATTATATGTGCTACAAAGAAACATAATGTATGTAATTAGCCGATTTTACTATGGGAGAAAAAAACACTTTCTAAAATAAAAATGAAAAGGAGACAACAATGAATAATGTCAAATTACTCGACGCTCTGATTAATTATTGATAGACATATTAGGGTGGTATGGTTTCATACCATTTCACACCATTTATTGTATAATATCTTATCATCATTAGTAAACGGAATTGTGTAACAAGAACTCAAACCCTATCATATGTTAGAGATCGAGAGTATGTCTAATAGTCCTTGCTGTAAGAACCGAATCGGATCATCAACTGGATCAATAGAAATGTCAAATCAGTTTCAATAGAGGTTTGATCCATGTTCTTGGACGGGTAGGAATGCACCGAATGATTTTTAATGGTTGAGCGTGAAACCAGATGAAACACCGTGGTTTGATTGGTCCATTGATTCACTACTTTAACCACAAAAGAAAATTAAGAAAAAAATAAACGTATAATAAGACCATCCAACTTTATTACTAATTTTTATATGTACCTTCTCTTCTTGATTTCCCAGCCTGCTTGTCGGTTTTATGTGGTCCACTATCAATCATTAACTTGAGTACAACAAATACAATTATGCTTATTTTTAAAAACCCCCCAGTTAAATTATTTGAATCAAGATTTGTATCCCCCTCTTTCGGATTTCTGGCTCTGCTACAGCAATTTGTTAGATTATTTGGTGATGGATGATATACATTTGAACTTGTGTATGGTTAGTGTCAATCAGTGTTAAATTGGAGTATTATATATGTATGTTATGTTATAGCGCACGAACGATTCTATCAATAATTAAGTGATGAATTATAAACCACTAACTTTTTTTCCTGGGTAAGCGTTGAAAACATAATAAGTAAAAATTTACCATCCTAGTTGACTTGGAATTTTTTGTGACTTAATTCACTTTATTTATTTATCATAATTAACTTCAAAATTAGTAACTAGAGGAAGAGTAATTGTGAGGAGTGATTTTAATTACCTGGCAGACGTTTGGATGGCGGAGTTGATGCCAAAGAGAGGCCTCTTGTCTCAGCCTAGCCATTAGCTGAGCTCTCTTTCTTTCCCCTAAACCACTTCTCCTCTCCACCACCACCTCCTCATTGTTGTCTTCTTCCCCCCAATATTCTAGTATTTTCACTGCATATAGTATTTATACATATACAACCATTTAGCCCTAAGCAACAAGTAATTAATAAATTTGAAACAATCACAAATTCAATATACACAAATTCCTTAAAAAGACAAAACGAAAAATAAACCACAAATCAAATTATAAGCCGCCTCTACCCATGCATGGCAAAACATAACAAGACAAAACAAACCCCAAGAAAAGATGTTAAAAAAGAGATATCAAACAAAAACTATGGTCATCGTACGAAGGCAGAGTTCGTGGAAAGACAAAGAGTTGATAGAAAAGACATTGGACGAACTTCCATACTACTAATTAGACAAACTATATTTGTTTTTGTGGTATTAAAATTTCAACTATTGAAGTTTTTATGCTATGCAAAACGGTCTTCGGCGACTTTAGAATGATTTTTAATACGGCATGAAACAAATTTATTTTTCGTTGAATTGAAACAAATATTTACTATATGATCTTAGCTTCAAAGAGATAAAAACAAATTAAGAAGAAAATCTTAAATCTTAAAAAATATTAAAGGACTTTAAGATTTTGGAGTTGTCCACGTAAGCCTTTCTGGAAATTTAACCTATCCACGTGGCCCCCAAAACCCGCTCATACCGCTCTCTCTTTATCCTCCTCTATTAGAAAACCTTCTTCTCAGACTTCTCTTACCATTCACCGCAAATGTTCATTCTTCCCAAGTCTGCAAAACTTTATCTCCGAATCTCCAACGTCGAGAAAACGAGAAATCTACAAGTCTACAACTACCAACTTCAAAGCAATGAATCATCTGCCAGCGTCACCGATGCCCTTTGATTTCACAGTCCGCTCTGTGACGATTAATCGCCCGAGATCGAATCCCCTCTGATCAACATATCGCTACAATCGTCCCTAATCCCTTCCCCCTCCCTCTAGACTGAGATCCATCCCAAAGAAGCATTAGCGAATCGGTTGAAATTCCGCAGATATGGGGGAGTACTTGAGATAATATCTGTATCGGCAGAAGCAGAAGCAGAGGCGAAGAATTGCATATGCGAACAGAAAAAGAATCTGACGATGGAGATGGAGATTACAGCAGCATCTACACGGTGCTATGGACGGTAGGGGAATCACCGGCTGTCGTATAAGCCGAAACTCTGCCCTTTGACAAAACCCTTTATCTTTCAATTTTAGGTTAATTATCGTAATAGATAATCACCAGGATTTAATTTTTATATTGATCCTGGTATAAAGCTGTTGTTTTGGTTTATTGCACTAATGATGAATAAAAATTTCTGGGATGCGTTAGTTTTATAACCAACTGTGATTGAAACTTAGAATTTGATATTATATATTCATTCATGTAACATGTAAACTATGGTATATTACTATATTTGAGTGTTCTAATTGGTCAATCTAAACATAAAATTCTACAACGAGGCTTTCTACATCTTCTTGGAGGTCATGAATAAAAATTAGGCAAAATTGAACTATTATATTATATGTGTATGTGATAGATATTAGTAGACGCTTTTGATATATATGTCTATACGATAGAATTCGCTATGGGCCAGTAATTGTTAATAGTAATTGAATGACTTAGAAATATGTATCATTTAAGTCAAGTGCTTAAAATCATTATTTGAATGTCGACTATTAGTTTGAAAATATATGTTACTTAGTATGATCTTAAAAGTCTATTTCAAGAGATCACAAATATAATTTTCAAAATAAATGGGTAAAATATAAATATTTAGAAGATTATAATTATTTAAAAATAATTATAAAATTCTTAATTTACAAGACAAGACGAGAATTTAAAAATGCCTCTTATTATGTCAAGAATGTATTCAACATAATCAAATATGTTGAACTCGCTTAATAAAAGCTTCACGTTGAATCCACAATCCCATCTATATAAGGGTTAATATTTTTGTCTTGCTCAAATTTTTACTATCATTAACATACTGATCAATCTTTTCAATATATAACATCTCAACCTGAACTTATCCTAAATTTTACTTAATTAACCAAACTCAGAACATTATATATTATAAAAATCGACCAAAATCATATAAAAAAGTTCGGGTTAGACAAAAATATTAACCCAATATTATATTATATGCGGTGCCAACCTGCAACGTCTTGGCCGTCGTAAGTTCCAAGATGAACGGCGGCGTACGTTCCCCGGCCGATGAGCTGCTTGACCACCAGTTTCCGGGGATCAATCTCCCATTCCTCTCTTCTTCTTCCGACCATGCCATTCGCCGCCGCCGCCGCCGCTCCTGATTTGTTCCGGTGAATATTCTGGTAGTTGCGCTGCCTTCCGTCAGAGAACATAAGCGCTTTGTCGAGATGGCGGTCAAGTTGGTCCAAGCTCTTCTTCAGATCGGCCATCGCCACTTTCTTCTTCGCCCCGTTCATCATCCTGCAGTTGTTGCTGCTTGTACTAGTAGTAGTACTGCTACAGCCGCCGCCGCTTTCTTCGTCATCGCCGTTTTGATGGCTTTGCTCTTCCATTGTGATTTAATAATTAATCCTGCTTCGGGAAAAAAAAGGAATGATACGTAGGAAATGTTCATATAGAGAGAAAAAGAGATAGAGAGCTAGCATTAATCGATACTCAATTAGGATACATGCCTGTATTAATTATAGAGAAGGTAATCAATTGGGCTCTTTAATTACTTTGATACGGTCCGGCAAGATATCTTCATTCTTCACGAGGACATGGGCTTTTTGATTTGGTGATATATAAAAGAAATCGCCATCCGCACCACGCAAATTTGTTTGGGTGGAGGGGCCGAATACGTATAGTATTGATGTGTAGGAGTTTGATTAATCAGGAAGCACGATTTTCACAATCAAATGGCAATAAACACACCTTCAATTCACGACATTTAATAAACACACCTTGCCTTGTCTTTCTGCGTCAACAAACCGTTAGTGATGAGTCAGAAAAAGAAGAAAATAACATTGAACAGGATATCAAAATTAGGTCAATAACCCAGAAGAGTTCAAGATACCTTCATACAAACAGGCTCCCAAATGAGAGACAGAGGGGGGAAACAGCTACAACCAAAAGTCATGCTTCATCTTCTACAATATGATTCCGTAAAGCAAAACACAGTAACATCCAAAATGGTGGCCGATGCACTTTCTTTACAGGCCTAATGCATCTAAGAAATTTCCTTTACTTGACATGCGGTGTTGGACCATTTGGCTACTTTGTCAAACCAAGTGTATATACTATGGTCTCATTCGAGTACGTACAGTTCTGAGTAGGCTACTGCTCAGCATAGCAAAATTTCCTATTTGTTGATGTTATCTAAACGTACCAATACGATCATGAAATCATTTATGTAGTTCCTGAAAGAGGGGGGAGGGCGATTTTCGTCAGTACGGGAACAACCTTTTGCGGTTCTTCTTCTTCTCAGGAGTCGCAAGTATTCCTTTCACTCCATATGTAGTCATCTGGAAGTTCTCAAAGGCCTGTGAAACTGCCTCCACCTGCGTGACAAGGAAATTGGGAGGCGTTTTGCTTCGTATTAGAAGAGACCAATGGATTATTTGCAATTTCTTTCTTTAGAAAAAAGAAAAAGAAAAACACACAGAACATTTTGACATACCAGTTCAGGTTTCTTGGCGTACACTCTCACGATCTTGTCTTGGCAAACAGCAGGGATTAAGTGACTGATGTGCTCCACTGGTATCGTGAATTTGTCCATGCTGTCGTGGTCCTGAGAAAGGTATATAGGTCAAAGGAAAAATCAACGAGATTGGAAAGCTACAATATTAAACGAGCCTAGAATGAATCCCGACTACACTCTCCAGAGGAAAGTCAGGATTGTGTTCTTGGCAATGTCATTCATAGTCAAATTGGAACCAAATTAAAGAGTATAATATATTGTTTTTGTAGAAAGGAGAAGGAATAGGTAAAAGTTGGCATTTGGAAAGGTATGTTAATAGTACCTGAAAAAACTTAACGCTGGGGGCGGATGGGTAGATGCATGAGGAAAACAACAAGACTGCATCAGAAGAAGCAGAAGCAAAAGTAATCAAGCAAAGGAGTTAACGTTAGTTACCTCTCAAGAGGGTTGGAACTTCCACGGGTTAAGTCAATCTGGACAGTGCTCACGGCAATATCTTCTTCTTTCAGTGTAACATCACTAGATTTCTGTTTTAAGCAGGCAGCAGATGTTGTTTTAGAAACAAAACATCACTAGCAGTATTAATAGAAAGCAAGGAGAGAACTGATGTGTCATGTCACCACCTGGGAGCATATAATATCCTGTGGAGTGACGTCATTGAAGTGGTCTAGCTTTTCCTTAGGAACAGCAAACTCATTGCAGAACTGGAACCCATAGCAGACAGAGGCAAACATTACAAAAACTAAAAAAGAATAAACAGAGACAGGCGTATGAAGACCACAAGAGAAAACACACTCCCACTCCACACTGATATACAAGTTGGGCTACTACCTGGTATATATCTCTTCTTCTGATGCGTAGGACCAACTCTCTGGCCTCTTTGAGTTCTGGTCTTTCGTCAACTTCGATTCTTTTCAATATTGTGTCATCCAGCTGTGCGAGCATTGTACAACAGAAGACACTGATGATTAACAACACATGGGAAAACAAAATGACGCCATTGATAAATTCGGCTGATCGACTTTCAGATTGAGTTGATGTTCAACATGTTCAGACCTTCCAAAACTCTCCAGGGTTTTGAACAGCGTCAGCAATTCCAAGGGCCTCATTTGCTTTGGATAGGGCATCAACAGCCATGAGTTCTATCCCCTGAAGATTGCAGACCTCAGTAAACTTCGAACAGCTTAATATTTTATTTTCCAGAATAATGTGAAAAGAGTTTCACCTTCACTTTAGCATGTGTATAGACTGTGCGGTGCATTTCTGCTCGAGTAGAAAACAGCTTGTAGACCGTGAGATCTATAAACAATGACCCATTGTCAACAACAGTATACAGTAAAATGGCTGCAGTAATTTAGGATCAAGTTCAAATAATACTAACAATCTTTGGCACGGTAACAAATCTCATCACCCAAAACCCTCATGGATCCCATTAACCTGAATGTCAACAAAGCACCCAGCAAACAAGGTCAGATCAAAGAATGAAATGGTCCCAACTTCTCTCAGGGTGGTTCATGTGTCAACTTTAACCCTTGCATCAATTCATGAAAACATGCTCAGGTCAGAGTAAACACTAAACATGCATAATGTATGGAAAGTACACACCTTGGGAACATAAAACCACAGCCAACTCCGCAAGCCCGTGAATCCCGAACAAGGTAGTCAAACCTAGATAAAGAGTATTGGGATTAGCATACAAGAACGTAATCATCATGATCAAGATGAAGTAAAAGAAGAAAAGATAACTCACTTGTCAACATCTACTCCATTCCGGCCGTTTGCAACAATGTCATAAAGAAACTGCTTCTCAGTGGGACTCTGCACCCATATAGATCTCAACAATTAACAAACTTAACACATCGAAAATTTTCTAAATAAAGCTCAGCATGTGAAATAACTTACATTGCGTGAACCATGCTCAGTACTTGCGACAATCATATCCTTCCAAAAGAACAAAAAAAAAAGCATCTAATAATGGGCCAAACACAGCTGGGGAGAGGGAAAACAGGGGAATAGTACTAATGCCATGAGACTCCAAACCTTTGCTTTCTTTAGGCATTCTGGTTCAATGTCAATGTGGTGTTTGTCCACAATGTAATCTATCATGCTGATAGACATGTCCTCATGAGACCTGAAAACAAATTTTGGCATTACTCAACTTCGGAATTGATCATAACTGAATGCTGGAGGAACTATTCAGCCTAGGGTACTCATCAAAGCATCTAATGCAGAAACATCAAGAACCTTGGATATGAGAAAATCTCGCAACACGTTTTGAGAATCTGATGGCAGATAACTAGCTCAGGCAAAAATCAATGAACTAACCATGGGGCGCCACTAAGAAATCGGGGAAGAAATTGACGCTCAAACGTGTGGCTGAATGGTCCATGTCCGATATCATGCAGTAATCCTGGAAAGATGAGAGATGCAACAGGTAAAGCTAGAAGAAAACAGCTGAATGCAGAAACATCAAAAACCCAAAATACACTTCGCTCACCGGCAAGCTTCACGGTCTTTATATCAAAATCCTCAACGGGAAAGTCCGGATCCTTTTCAAGTATGAACCATTGATTCAGAAAGGTTGGCCATCAACACAAAAACTAAAAATGAGGCATGACAGATCGTGTTGGCCTCGATACCTGCTGAGCTCTAAGACGGTAGGCTACTTCCCCAGCCAGATGGTATACACCTAAGGAGTGCTCGAACCGAGAGTGCACTGCTCCAGGGTATACCGTGTTTGTTAGTCCTGCAAACAAGTAACTCTGAGTCAGTGGAAGGCAAGAGTACATCAAGGAAACCGAGTGAGCAGAAGGTGCAAAACGAATAGTTTAGGAATGGATCTGCAAGAGTGTTAACAATCACCGAGCTGCTTGAGATCCCGAAGCCTGCATCAAGGAATAACATAGTCAGGTTGTATTCTTGATTATGGGAATGGGATAGAAGTGAAAAATTACAAGTATCCACGTCGAACTTGCCTCTGAAATTGTTCAGTATCGACGAACTTCAGAGCAAGCTGAAACACAATAAAGAGAGACAGAATTCATCGTCAAACTCAGCACTATTACTCCTTCCTTCCAGAAAAAATCATCGGTAACAAGAGAATAATCTCTGGATCAAATCACCAGATATTAACGATAGCATTCCACACTGACTGTTGCTCAAACAAGTAAAACAGAAAGACGAGAAAGGACGTTGAAGTGCTATTTCCAAGAAAGCGTCAAAATGCTAAAAATTAGCTATGTTCACTAGACGTTTCGGAAGCTGTAGACATCGTTTCATCATTCGCGTTTCACCGGACGTTTCGAAACCTTTTGGAGGAACGGTTACTTGCAGACTACCAAGGAAAATTCCTCCTACGCAACGTCGGCGTTCGTTCCATCAATTCCGTGTACGCAAATCGAATCTGCGTTAATGGAAACAGAATTCCGGCCGGCGAGTACGAAGTTGAGTCCGCAAAATCGTCAATCATGCACCAGCTCAACCACAAACACAGAGATTCCGCCGGAAATCGGACAAATCGGTTCAGAAACTCATAAAATCGATTCAATAGCTCACAATGAAATCGAAAGGAGAACAGAAGTAGCAACAGGACAAAAACCGAGCCGAAACAGAGAGGAGGAAGTCCGAAACAAACTAGTGAGGGAGAGAGGCAAGCAGCGAGTGAGTATGTACCGGGTCCAAATAGATGGTGCCATGGACGTTGTCGAGTACTTCCTTCGAGAATCTGCGATTCTGGCAGTAAGACGCATAGTTGGAGGCGCAGTAACCGCCGTTGGAGGAAGCTCCCATTGTCGTCGACGACCTCGGCTGCGGTATGCGGGAACGCCGCTCACACTGTAATACTGGAAAAGAAGAAGAAGACGATGTTAAGGACTGAAAGCGCACAGAGAAGGAAGCTACTAAGCAGGCTGGAAGAAACGTTTACTGTTCGAATTTCTTGCGAGAGGTGATGGAAACGGCGGAGAGAGGGGGGAAGATAGAGAAGCGGCAATGAAGAACGCTCTATAAATAAGGACTGGTGGAAGGAGTGTGCGGAGAAAATGGGGGGGAGTGGTGGTGTCGTGAATTTGGCAATGTGCCGCCAAAATGCTGGATTTCAGTCCCACGCGCTCGGTTGCACGCCTCAGGCGCTTGGAGGACTTTAATTCGTTTGAGAAAAATTGAAAAAGAACGTTCCGTCGGTGGTACTGACGGGAGTAACGGCGGGACATACAATTATGAGCAACGAACGTCGATTCAAATGGACGGGAAATTGAACCGCCGTCTGTCTTTAACTAACACTAACAGAGTAACAGTCTCCCCAATTATTCAGGAAAAAATGCTTTCGTGGTGCTCAAGGGACATGAACTCCTTGCGTCGACAAGTATCGAAACCCTTCTTCTACAAGTACAAATTCTGGATTCAAATTTGCATATTCAATTTGATTTCCAGAGTCTTTTTTACCCTATTAACGATCATCCGAACAGCATTCACTAATGCAATGTTAGAATTCATAACAACAATAATATCATTAACTAACATGATTCGACACAAGGAGGAAACGCAGTGCTTAACCATTGGCTACAGCCATCTGGAACTTTTCAGGGACTCGGAGGACAGGAGCCTGGAACGTCCCGGGCTTCCCCAGCTGGCCGCAAGCAGCCATCTGGTCGTCACCTCTGCTCTGTCGTAAGAACACTGAGCATTTGCCCTGTGCTAGCAGATTACGGAACTCGATCATTTTGTCTATGCTGGTTGGTCTGAATTGGGAGCCACAGTGAGGATTGAACTGAATGAGATTGATCGTGCATGGAATACCTTTAACTAGATCAATCAGCCTCCCTGCATCCTCAACACTGACAGACAACAACAAACAGATCCACTCAAGATGATTTCTTATGTGGAAGGAAATACTTCGATGGACCAATAAGTGCTTTCGCAAGCCGTGAGAAAAGGTCCATCATCATCTAACCTGTCGTTTACCCCAGCAAGCATTACATACTCGAACAGCACTTTGTACTTGTGCTTGCATTGAAGCTCCTGTCGCAGGGTGTTGAGAAGCAAGCTGATATTGTACTTGCGGTTGATTGGCATGATCCAGTTTCTTACCTGCAAAAAAGATTTGGTAGTTGGGGAAGAGGGGAAATCATTATCAATAAGCAAGATGTGTTTGTTCAGGAAATCAAGATAGATAGATGTCTCTTGCCTGGTTACTGGCACTTGCTCACCTCATCAGTAGTTGCATTTAGACTGACAGCCAAAGAGCAGTTGGATTCATGGAGAAACCGTTTGAGCTGGGGAACAAGCCCGCTTGTAGAAACAGTGACCTTCCGAGGGCTAAACTGAAGTCCTTGCTCATCCACCATTATGTCAGCTGCTTTGATTACATTTTCAATGTTCTGAAGAGGTTCTCCCATTCCCTGCCAATCATTGACAAGTATCAGCCGTTTAAACTTTGTTTCTTTACAGCAACCACTTCAGTACATTTAAATCTGGAGTTCTGTTGAGAGTAGAGACTACCTACCATGAAGACAACGTTAGTGATGGAACCAACTTCACTTGTGAGTAGACGCCTTGCAAATACAGCTTGCTCTACTATCTCAGCTGTAGTCAGATGTCTCGTCAAACCCATCCTGCAATATTGATCGAGGAAATGCAGCAAAGCACTCAAGAAACATAAAGATGATAGATAGACATAGACTTGGATTTCAAATGGGAAATGAAGAAAAGGCTTGCCTGCCAGTGTAGCAGAACTGACAATTCATAGCACAGCCCACCTGACTTGAAACACAAACCGTCGTCCTACCTCTATCACATGGTATCACAACTGTTTCTATAACTAGTCCATCATTTAACCTGAACAAAACCTGCATTTCTGTGAGTTTCAAAATCAATGAGAAGATTCTTGTAGCTTATGCAAGTTTAGAGTCGAATCACAGATAGGTACCAGGTTTGAACAAAATAAGGAAGAGACATAGGGCAAGCATTCTATCACAATGGAGGGCAGGAATCAGCATTGCGGAAGGCTAAAAGGATTACCTTTCTGGTTCCATCAGACGCAGTTACAATGTCTTGCAAGGTCAAAGCCTTCAATTGAGCTTGCTCACTCAACAACTTCTTGAAGTCCTTGTTCAAGCCTACATAACAGCAGCAAAAAAAAAAAAAAAAAAAAAAATCAACAAACCCCCAGCCATTCCTCGTTCCAGCAAGCAAGAAATATTAAAACCAAAAACTCAAAGAGAAGCCCAGTAAGCAGGCACCTTCCAATTCGTCAACACAGTGTGCCCAGATGTTGTTCAAGCCATACAACCGCTTCCACAGCATCATAGCCTGACCAGGTCTGAATCCATGGGACTGAACCCACTTCTGCCATTAGCATTCAAACCAACATCGAATCATTCAGATAGTTGGAACCGAAGCTTTCAGCAGTAAATTGTTCAAAGCACAATCCTAACCAAACAGACTGAAAAATAAAACGTACTTCGAGTTCAGAATATCTCATTTCCTTGAGGAGCACCTTCGAGCCATCGCCCGGAAAATTAGCTCCGGCGTCACCAGGTCCCGCTACAAAGAGCAACCAAACATAGTAGATATACAGACCAAGTAAATGGGCGAGTGAAACCCCGAAATCAGGAACCTCGTGACAGGGAGTTGAGTCCTTACCGTCCCCGGCTGAACTTTTTGGAGACCCTGAAACTGAAGAATGCGGCGAGGAGAAGGCCGTGTTTGAAAAGAAGCGGAGGCTGGGAGTGAAATTGAGGGTGAGGTTATGTGGTTGTCCCGGCGGCAAGGTTATCTGAGGGTTATGAAGAGCAAGGGTAGCAGTCGCAGAGGAGGAGGAGGGTGACGGAGGCTGTTTGAATACCAGGTTAGAGTTGGGTCCGGCGAATCGCATTCGCCTTATCCAGACACAGCCCATCTCCATTGCCTAAGCTTGCTGTTCGAGCAAAACCACCAGCGCAAAAGTATGAAGGGATATGGTATTGTTGGTAGGCAAAGATACATTCTGGTCATTGCCTCATTTGGTCACGTAACCTAATTATATTTTCTTTAAGAACCCTAGTTATGGTTTATTTTTAACATCTTCGATTGCGATTGTCATAATCGATATTGCGTCCAAATGTAAAATGAGAAATGTAATATATAAAAAAGCCGTCAGAAACAGGAACTCAGTCAATTGGTAAAGCTTCCACCATGAGCATGACCAACGAGATTAGAATGAACCCAATCTTAACAAGCAATCTACTTTCTCTTCTACTTATTCTGTATATGCATATAATGGCATGCAAATTAGACAATCGAGGACCGGGAAATGGTTCCATAGCTGCCACAAACTGTACGCTAATGTTCACAGATAGAGGCTCATACCCTACTGGGAGCATCATATTTTTCAAGCCAAATGTCCACATTAACCAATAAGTGTTTGAATGTATACAAGTCGATGTCTCTTTTACGATCGCGCGCCCATCTCATAGCTGTGGTGTTCTCTATAACCTTCTTTTGTGCTTGGATCCACGCCTGAAAGGTTATCAACGAGTATGTCATGCCCACCTTTTCTCGATCAACGGTTAATACTCGCTTAATGGCGCGAGTTCTCCACGAGCACAACGAACTAGACAGCTGCTGAACACATCGATAGTCGGTAAGAACGTCAGACCAGGTAAAATGACAGGACCAATGACACCCATGGTAAGGTGATCCTCAGGAAACAGATGTTCACGTTGCTATTTTTGACACTGCACTGCAATGTACAAGCTCAACAAAACAAGATTCAGAGGAAAAGATTCATCACATGCACGGGCACAACAGCAACAGCAGACCAAGTATACCAAAAGAAAGCACTAGAAACTGACTCCATATTCCACGGCCAAAATCACAACATATGCAGGCATTTCAGAGCAACTAAGAGGGCCCGCTTCGTGACAAAATCGAGCCGATCCTGACTATTGTACCAAGATCAAGCACAAAAGGAACAGATGTTATAATAACTCATAAGATTGAGAATTCAGATTGTGCCAAGGAGTTGCAGTTCAGAAACCAATTGTACCAAAATTATTTCACCGAGTCAATAATAATCCGAGAGAAATTGGAATAGTTGATAGAATACTTTGAGCAGAAAGTCTTAACCAGCTCCAGCCCAAGAAAATTCGTTGAAGCCAGTCATCCAATCAACGATATCATATTCACTTCGGCTGCTAATTCTCAATGACAACAGCAGATCACGACCAAGCACAACCACCTTCTAAGACCGCAGTAGAAGCATCAATAGAGAATTGTGAAACAAATATATTTAGTGGGGGATTGATGCTCTAAGCTTACCAATCATTATCACCAACGGATCTGCACCCAAGGCAACTCTTTTTCGGCACTGTACCACCCTCACATTCAGATACGGTTAACGATATTGGAGGACAACAACTATAATAATAGCCATGTGGAGTCACTCACCTGTTTGTGGCCGATACTTATCTACAAGCAAATGTACACAAGTTAATATACCTCACGTTGAGATGCTAAGTCATCACAAGTTACACCATCAAACAGGAAAGAACACCCAGACAAGGATGAAGGCAAACATCCGGTGGGCAACTTTGTCAACTCCATTGTGAAGTGCGCACTAACCAATGATGTTGAGATCAAACCTTGCTTTTACCACTAACGCAGTTAGTGAAACTAATCACAGCTCTGGTTGCCTAGCAGAGAAGAGTAGAGCATCAATTACTAAAACTGACAGACTCTAGCACCCTAACAAATTTAGCAATATTGGAACACAAGACTACCACCCAAGATCCAAGCCAAAAATCACCCCGAAAAGTGAACAGAACTGTGAACCAACTGAAGAATTGAGCAGGGACATATGAAGACTATAGCACCCTAACAAAGAAGATGGAATTTAGCAATATTGGAACACAAGACTACCACCCAAGATCCAAGCCAAAAATTACCCCGAAAAGCCAACAGAGATGTGAGCCAACTGAAGTATTGAGCAGGGGCATATGAACTCTCCTCTGCAGTAAGGTCATAACTTTATTCAACCTCTTGGTTACCCGTAACCAAAATAGTACACAAGGACTCATGGCTTCATGCAGACACAACAACCAAATGTAACCCAGTCCCTCCATCTTCTTGCCCATGTGGCTCTAATCCCAACTCTTGTTTTCAAAACCATTTCTATCCATCCATGATCTGAGAATTAACCTAATTAAATTCCACAACAATCAACTGGAATTCAAAAAGGGCAACAAGTGGAAGCGTGGATTCGATATCGAGGCAGAATCAGAATCAAATACTGTGACCACATTGGATTCAACTACCTAACCTAAGCCTCTTACTTCCCCAGTACCATTTACAAGAAAGATGTGATCAAACAAGGTGTTCATAGACAAAACTTATGCATCGGGGCTCAAATTCATTATCAATTTACAAAGAATAATACCACCAAATTCTCAATACTATAAAATCTTTTGAGAGCAGGAGCAGAGTTCTTTTAACAGATTAAGCACTCATATTTTGCAGAACCATGTCAAGAAGATGAGATCACACACAGTGTTCATAGACAAGGCTTGTGCATAGTAGCTGAACTTCATTATCAAAGTTACAACAATTAACACCAAATTCTCAATACTATGAACACACAACGTAAATCGCATTTGAAAAGATAGCTCCAGGATGTACCTATTCTTCCTCTTATAATCCAACAACGAAAAGAGAAGGCTGGACATATACCTCGATAGAGGATTCACAACAATGGCCAAACAAGAGCAATGTCATGCTTGATTCATATGATAATTCCACGAGAGGGCCTGTTTCTGAGCAACATATGGAGGCATTTTAGAGCAACTAAGAGGGCTTCGTGACAAAATCGAGTGGAGCCTGACTATTCTACCAAGATCAAGCACGAAATGGCAGATGTTGTAATAACTAATAAGATTGAGAATTCAAATTGTGCTTAAGAGTTGCAGTTCAGAAACCAATTGTACCAAAATTATTTCACTGACAACTCTATACTAATCTGAAAAAGAAACACAAGGATTAAGCATGGTGGCCCTTAGGTTCCATATTCAAATGCTGACTTCAAGAGTTCTGAAGAACTTAACAGATCAACAACTATGGACTAGGATGACCCTCATCTAGGACAGAAAATAAATTGGTGGGGCAAAGGCCAACAAGATTTGCATTTGTTACGTCTGTCAAGATCAAGGCATCTGAAATAATAATCAGAAGGGACTTAGAATCTCTAGTTAGAACCCGTGAGATCATTACAATCAACATGCTTAGCTAGTTTAATCCGACATCTATCACGATCAATGAGGCATCTTCCTACCTCCAGACAGTCTGAGTTAAGGAAAATCCTGAAAATAAAAGGTTCAGAAGCATCATCCGCACGGTAAACACAATGTGAGGCCAAAAAACTATACGAACTATATCATGTAGAAGCACCAGGATCAAGTTCCACTCCACATTCCAGATTTCCCTTCTGAAGCAGAGTTTTTTTTTTTTTTTTTTTTTTTTTTTTTGTAACAGATTAAGCATTCACATTTGGAAAACCATATCAAGAAGACGTTGTCACACGCGGTGTTCGTAAACAAGATTTGTGCAAAGTGGCTGAACTTCATTATCAAATTTACAAAGAATAATAGCACCTAATTCTCAGTACTGTGGACACTACAAAAGCAGTTAACATGGTAAATCACATTTGAAAAAAATCGCTACAGGACATACCTATTCCACCTCTTATAATTCAACCACGAAATGGAAAGAGTCCACATACACCTTGACAGATGCACAACTATGGCCAAACAAGAGCAGCATCACACCCAATGCATATGTTAATTCCTCGAAGTCGAGGAGCATAATCAAGATTGCACCACTTATTCATCTGATTCATTTTTGTGTCATTATAGTTAAGCAAGACAAGTCTAGTACCCAAGAGAAACTGAAAAGTGGAGCAAAGGCAAACAAGAAGAGCAATATTACATCCACAGCCTCCCATTTTTACCTTCCAAAGCAAATGACATATGACTTTAGGGCAGCCACAACCGAGCGGACTTCCTAGAACAACTCCGATGAACTGACAGCAAGGGATTCCGAATAATCATGAATCCGGACTTACATAACGAAACTTGCCATTGAATCCTCATTCAACCAAAGGTCCAGAATTGAACAATGAACACCATTCTAGCACCCACCCGATGCAATAAACCACTCTGATTTCTTCAGGTCAGTCGTTTATCTTGAAGAAACCATCATAGAAGATGAGCACTAAGTCTCTATGCCACAAAAACAAATACCAAAATGTAAATGAGATATGAGAGGAATTTATAGGCTTCTTGCTTTAGACTTAATCAAGGCTAAAACCACACATCTCACTTTTTCCAGAATCGAACGGAACCCATTATCGAGTTCACCCAGCCTCTGAACAACATTAGGATGTTCAACGTCAGGTATTAGCTTCAGGTCCCTCCTACCTCAGACAAACCCTCCCATAAAGGACAAATGAAAAGAAAACGAAACCAACTCTAACCCCATCGAAAATTGATTAATCACCGTTCCCTCGACAGACCATGAATACTTGCAACCAAGGAACTCATGTGCTTATGAACTTCATGAACATAAAGACACTTACGATGTTTGCCCTTTTCCATTAGCTAGCTGGACATGAGTCAAAAGATACGTCAGCTCACCGTTGACCTGGTCAAACAATTTAAAAGAAGGCTCAATAAGAAATTCTAGTTGACGGGGCTTGGGCTAAAATTAACAAATAGAATAAGCCTATAATCATGACATAATAGGACGAAATTTAGGACGGCCTGGCATAATAGGAAATCCACTTGAGAAGAGAATCCAACAAACATAGCTCCTTCAGAAGAACCAAGATCGTCTGATGGAAGTAAGAAGGCAACCAAATTGAGCTCATATGAATACAAGGACTCACAAACAGAAGGTAGGGCTTAAGCTCGAGCTACAGAAGCTCACACAAAATGGCTGAGACTTGCAAGAACTACAGCCATCATACCACCATCTTTGATCTTTCTCAACTTGCTTGATCCTCAAGTAAAAACGATTTCAGAGACTTCATAAGAGCATAAGTAATACACAGGAAAAGATTCACGACATCATCATATAGAGGCAATCACAGCATGAAGATGCAACTCCACCCAGCTTGGTCTTGAACCCCACGTGGCCATCTTGCTTTCAAAACCACTCCTGCTCATCTGTCGTCTAAGGACTAAGATGATAACATGACGAGATTCCACAACACTTCTCAATGGGAGTGGAAATAAACATAACACATCCAAAAAGGGTACCACCTGAAGCATCGTATTAAATTAAGTTGTATTCAATTCAGCTATAATACTCCATAAAAGCCACAGATCAAGAATCACGGCTGCCTCCTACGACTATAATAGAAGGGTCAATAGAGAACAATAAAACCGGAACCAAAGAATGGAAGCGGTAATGACGGGGTGGCAGAACTGCAATTACTGAATTGCCCACACACCACCACTGCCACACTGCTGTCTTACAAAATTGAAGAAGTTTCGTCCTGTTCATACTTCAACCATAAGTAATCATCGAATGATGTGAAAAAAAGGAGGCAAGAAGTCTCAATGTTCGGGGCCATATTGAATAGACAAGAATGTGAAACCCACCCGCATACATACCTAAATATTCTCCTGAACACTCCAAAAGCATTCCATATGATTTATCACACTCCAAATCATTATTTGAAATGTAGGCCATCTAATTGCTAATTCATAGAATTGTAGCGAACTTTCCCGTTCAGAACTTGGAAAGGAGAGATCCATAAAATTTCTCTGTTCCTTTAGCCTCATGAGATCAATCCTTGTGATCACCGTTGCTTGTAAAGCCTTGTTTTTTTTTTCTTTCAGTTTTTCAATATATCGCCATTATAATAATAATAATAAATCTTCGGTTAGAGAAATTTCCAAAACCGACATTTTCATCAGAAGCAAGGATAGTGAGGTTCACTGTAGAGCAGGAACCGATGGGTAACAGATACTAGCCTTTTTTCTTTAAATCGTCACCGGAGGCGAGGAAAGTGAGGTTCTATGTAGTACAGGAACAAAACGAGCACTATGTAGTGCAGGAACTAAACTGGCACCATATGTACTAACCTTCCAATTGCAATCACCTTGGGCCTGAAAAGCAACAACTCGGGCAACAACAACCCAACTTACTTCAAAGTTCAAACCAAGCCGAAAAGCATCAAACACTGCATTTTCCCAATAGATTAGCCTCCACACACATTAATTGAGTCTCTCCAACTTCCAGATAACATGCACAAAAGAAGAAACACAAGGATCAAGTACTGTTCAGATTTATCCCAAGGTTCACCTGTTGAATAAAACCAATCAACTCTACCCCAATATTGTTATGGTATTTCAACTGTTTGTGTTCTGGTATTTCAATCGTTGAATCAAATAAAAGTAGATGAATCTAAGGTTCACATAAATGCCAGAAATCACAAAACAAAACTTCTGCTTCAGCTTCCTTCTTTTCTTAGATCGCATCAATAGAATAAGCATATTATAAGTAGCTGCTGGGTTTGGCCGTAAATGGAGCAGAATTATGAGTCCTTCCCTCCCAAGATTTGCCAATGTAAGAAGTCCGCACATCGAACAAGCACATTGGTCTTATCAGGATTGTTTTCCAGAAAAAACTTTGTTTCTTGTTTCGTGAGAGTTTTACTTGCACTGGAGACACAACAATGCTTAAGAACACTCCACTCTAGTGCAACCTCTTCCAACCCAGCACCTTTGTTACTTGCAAGTAGAATAGGCTACTTATCATGAGAAGCCTCAAAATCAACAACCCATCCCCAGACGAAACCAATAGAGAAAAAATATTGCAGTAGATCAAGAAAGCCTACGAGATGAAAAGAGAGCTAGACAGATGGAAATTCTCATCGGCAGCCTTGCTTGAACTGCCAACGGAATCCACACGATATCCATTTGCATCTATGAAGTCCATACTACTCCCAACAGTCCAATCCACTGTTATTCCGTCAATGAATTGATTCAGCACTCGGATTCTTTAATATACAGCTAATTACCAAGCTAAACACAGTGATACTGGATATAGGGACACCGAAATTGGTTATACAGGACAGAACCAATGAAAACCATGCTAACTACCATCCACCAAAGAAGGAAACATTTTACCCACAACACTTGAGAGATTTTAATGATCTCCAAGGAATATAATTCAGTGAACCAAGCTCAATAACCAACAATTCTAAAGCTCGCAAACAATTAACAGCAACACGACCCTCAACCACCCATTGGATTTAATCTCTTTCGAAGCAAGTAAAATACTAAATCCCAATTGATTCACAGAGGTTTCATCCTACATTTTTTCACTCCACTGCAGCACAAATCAAAAGCAAGTCTAATCATGTTCTCTTCTTGGATTCCATTGTAAATGTAAATTGATATGTTCAGGTGGGCAGAAGGGCAATCCAAAAGTATCCCCTTCTAGGACCCTGCCACTTAACATCATATCCTTAACCAAACCACGAGGCACCAACTGACAATTGGGACAAATAGGTATCAAGACCAAGTTTCCATCCATATATTCTCGGGACATACAACCAGATGGTTATCCCATTTGGGTAAAATTACTGGACTAGGGTCGATTTCCTTTTAGGGACCGAAAACATAGCAGAAGGGTAATCCTCTTAGGCATATTCTAGGACCCCTGTTGCATATCCCACAAAGTAACTACCAAAAAGTAACAAATAGAGCAGAAGAGCAACTAGACTAGTCATAGTTCCCTTCTAGGACCCTATTAGCATATACCACGGAATATCCACCAAAAGTAGCTAATAGAGCAGAAGGGCAACTAGAATAGTCATAGTTCCCTTCTAGGACCCCATTAGCATATACCACGGAATTTCCACCAAAATAACTAATAGAGCAGAAGGGCAACTTAACTAGTCATAGTTTCCTTCTAGGACCCCATTAGAATATATCCCGGAACAACCAACAAGATAACAAAAAGAGCAGAAGGATTAAATCCCATCGAATAGTACCCCATAGAATGTGGGGCAGAAGAGCAACTCGGAAAAAGCTCTCTTCTAGGACCCCATTGGCATACACCTTAGAGGGACAAACTGATATAGGGGTAGAAGGGAACTGGGACTATCAAAAGAGCTTGACTAACTCCTATGACCTCATCGCAACAGTTTTTACAGAATTACAAAAGCAGCAACAATGTCTTAGATTACCTCCTTTCTCTTTGTATGCATGTGCTATACAGAACAGTCGGACCAACACGTTATAAATCGTACTTCAGTCTAGAGACCAGAAGCAGGAGCAAGATATGGAAAAACGTTTCTTCTTTCAACTGATTGCAAAAGGGCTCAATTAAAATAGTCAATTTTGTCTCACTTTAGTTCTCAACAGAAGCAACAATTTGAAAGAATCCCAACATGCTTTTATAATCAGCTAGAAAGCTTTAGGTATCCAGACAATATAGCAACAGAGCTTTACTGTAAATGAAGCAACAGGGAAAACCATTAATCATGCTATTCATCCACTAATTAGCTTATCCTGGCAATTTTTTCAACGGTCAGAGTGCTCTCGAAAATCACTTCAATTCACTCCCTCTTATGAGCAACCAATGGAAAGTGGTAAATACAAGAACATACCTCAACCGGAGAAGCCACGACATCATAAATTATCATCTGTCGTTCGTCATCGGAGTAACAACTTCACCGAGAAATTATGTTGTTTATCATCTCAGAATCATCGAGGAACACCAGCAACAACTTAGCGAGTCACAATAGTCTGTGAGGGATACACAGCGACGATTTAGGGCAACCGGGACGAACAGAAAACAAGAAGGGAAGAGATTTTTCCCCCTTTTACTTGAACGAGGCGAAGATTCTTGAAGTCGACGGGAATAAACAACAAATAGAGACGATGAAATGCTTCTCCAATCTCAAGCTTCATGGAAACCCTAAAAGGAAGAACCAAGCCGAGATTGTTTACCTAATTTACGGTGATCCTCGTTCTTGGGGATCCCCATGGAAGTTTATCGGCGGCAGCGGCAACAATAGCGGAAATGCGATGTCCTGTTAGCTATTATAGATGCAAAAGGAGGTCGAAGTCGGTTATGGCGTGGCCGCTAAGCGTGTACGCGTTTATTTGCCACGTGGTGGACGAGTTACACTTTTTGCTGACCTGACCTGCCAGCTGGACACGTGCATCCTTTTCTCACCGAATGACGCTTCCAAGAAACGCGTTTATATGGGAGCTTTAAGTCGGTTAAGCCCAATTAAAATGGCCAAAGTTGGCCCACTGAGACGACACGGCCATTCCAATATGGGGATTTAATTAGCCCACTGATCCATCATTCAAATATATATATATTAAATTATAACTTTTTTAGCAAGTCTTTTTTTAAGGATTGAAATATTATACCGTTTCAAAAAATTCAACGATAGGATATTTTATGTTGAAATCGTGGTTTAATCAGGATTCAACCGTTTCATACCGTCTAACTTCATCGGTGTACATCAAATTACTTTTATTACATCATATTTTAGTTAGAATACTCATACTTGTCTTGCCCACTTATGGATGGTTACCCACCAAAAATATGTCAGATAAAACAAGTCAAAGCAAAATTACCCTCCACAATCTTAGGTCAGTGTGGTTCAACCTTTCCCATCGTGTTAATGGTATTTATCTTATTAAGAAATTTTTTTTATAAACGATAGCTTTAAAAATTCCCGTCATCAATCATTTTTTGAGCTATAGATGCTCTACTGATTTAATACAACAACCACATTGCGGTTTTTTGCAAGAGAGATCTCAAATAACTCATCATATCAGATTTCGCCATAATTACTAATTACTCGTTTAAGGACACGGAAGTTGGATAAAATCCCTTATCAAATCACTCGTTTTTTCTTCCCTTCTCAAAAGATAAAATTGATCGGAATTTGAAATGACAAGGGATTTGGGTAAAATCCCTTAAGAAAACCCCTATTCCAAACCATCTCTTGAGAATTTGTATGTATCAAAACGTACTTACTTCTGTCGAACTCACGATGACAATTGACAAGTCTACTGCTAATATGAGATGATCGTATCCGGGCAGACTCATTGGACGAAGTAATTATTCAAAAAAAAAAATCGACGAAGTAGCAAAATGGCAATCACCTCTCGGATCTAGAAGGGCCAAGGAAGGAAACAGTGAGCATAATCCAAGGATCATGTGATAAAAGCACAACAAGTTAGAATACAATACAAGGGAGAACTGGTTGAGAAACCCTCAGGGCAAAAACACCTTCGAAACTTGTTTATACATCTACCTTCATCGGTGTACAGACGTTTCTAATCACTTCAGTTGGGAACTAAATAGCAGGAAGGTGAAAGATCCATCTCATCCACAACTCAGTTCATCACCTTTCCACGTTCCCCCATGTCATACAATTGGAAGTCTGTAAATGCACCTGCAGTGATTGATGCATATGGCGGTCCTGTTTCCAGTGTGATCTCCTCTTTCCATATGCAAATACGGCCATGGTCAGAACTAGTCCCTGTTGAGACATAGATATGAAAAGTTAGGTTAGGCGTTCAACAAGTACCATGATGAACACAAATAGTCCTCCAATCAAGGATTTGTATACTAACTACCATTCTAGTTCGGTAGATGGGAAACATGACACATAATGGAAAAGCCCAATTGAATATCCCACATAGGTTTCACAGGCATCATTTGTTTCTACACTATCCACAGCAGAATATCTATGTGCGATTGGATAATGGAAAGTAAAAGACTAATGATGCCTGAATATCTGCTAGCAGGGAAATTATAAATTCAGAGGAAGTAATAGAAAAACTTACCAATACTTAATCAAGCCATCCCAACTGCAGGTAGCCACTTTACTTTGCTCCAATGGATGCCATTCAACCCCAATACACACTTGTTCATGACATTTCAAGGTCCTGAAAACTTTGCAGCTCTTCCAGTCCCAGAACCAACACCTACCCTCACCATCTCCCGACATAACGAACCGCCCATCGGGAGAGAAGTTGACCTGGCAGGCATATCCAGATACAATGTGTCCTGCAAACCTCTTCTTCTTATTCAACTGAAACCTTTCCCTGGTGCTGTAAATAAGGATCTGGTTATCCAAACTCTGTGCTGCTAGCCAATTCGAATTGGGATGAACAGATATCGAAGGCATGGAATGCATGTGAGGCTCGCTGATATACTTAATCACAACGGGTATCCCGAACTCCCAAACACGAAGCGATTTGTCGTCGCTGGAAGTGACGAATCTCCTGTTGTTATCCACAAAAGTGATGGTGTTCACTGCCCCCAAATGCTGATCATACTCCTGAGTGATCTGGCCACTATTCATATCCCACTGCACTATCTTCTTATCGCTCATCCCGGCCAACAATATGTTCTGCTTATCTTCATCAGGATTCAACTTAACGACATAAGGGACCTTCCCGGTTGAAAAGGTTGAAATAACCTGACCAGTCTCAGTATCCCAATACTTAATGTTCTTATCATACCCAGCAGACAAGAACTTAGTCCCATCATTCGTGAAACAGATATCTCTAACTGCCTTAGAATGACCCATGTAAGTTCTCATACACTTACCAGAATTGAACACATCCCAGATCTTCACCTTCGTGTCCATCCCAGCCGAGAGAATCAAATGCCCAGACTTTGGGAAGAATCTGATGGCGGAAACACCCTTCGTGTGGCCACTCCATGTATGCACCAGCCGCTTGGGTATATAACAATGATCATTCGTAGCTTTAGCGTCCTTGGGCGGGGCAATCCACGACCTCCCTTGATAATCCTTCTCTTCCTTCCCATGGAACGTTGTTTTCTCAACAACAGCCTCGCCCTTATCCTGACTAGCGCCCTTCTCTTCCTTCTTCTTAGCGTGCTCCTCGGCGTACTTCTTCTGCTCCTCCGTCAATTCCCCTTGCAATCCTTCCTTCTTTCCAGCCCATGGGCTCTTCTTGTTCTTCAACAACCAGGTATCCGTCGCCGGATTCTCAACCTCTTCCTTATCCACGTTCTCCAGATCCTCGTCTTCATCCTCTTTCTTCGCCTCGATCCTGCGCCTCTTCTGCTCCTGCTGCGGGGCACTAAACACCGTATTGCCACCATTCTTCGACAGAGCATTCAAATCGCCGACGATTTCAGTTCCCGAGGGATCCGCCGCGAACCCATACTTCTGAAAAGTGTAGATCTGTTCGTCGAATACAAAAGAATCGATGTTGGCGTCTTCCACAAACCCTAGCTTGTGATTCCGATTCCCTTGCGCGAGCCCGTCCTTGGCGTATGGATGAGCCGGGCCGTAGATGGGAGTCCAGAGCTGGTCATAGGTAGGGTTGAAAGCGACGAGGTGTTGGTTTGGGTCGATCGGCCTTGACTTGGTTAGATTGTTCTGCGCCACGGTTAGGGCAAGCGTGGTGTCGTCGACCCTCGGAGCGGCGGATTTCGCAGGTAGGAGACGCGGCGGAGAAGAGTCCGGGGAAGAGCTAGGGTTTTCGAGCTCCCCGCCGCCACTGCCGCCGTCGGCGCGCTCTTCCATTCCTTCACCATCATTGTAGGAAGCTTGGAGAAGATCCATTATTTGCAGATCGTTGGACCGAGATTTTGCGATGGGAGAGTACTATAAATATAGTGTAAACAAAGTTTCTGCATAATGCGGCCTTGTATTGTTGGGCTCTGCCCTAAGGCCCATTAATCTGCTTGCACAGAAATTAAAAGGCTTAATAGAAGAAGGGTACTCATAGTTTAAACGTTTGTGTCACTTGTAAAACTCTATGTTCTTGTTGTGTCATTTGTATTTCAACCTTATGAAATGTGATATCAATAATATTCCCTAATATTTTGTTGACCATTAAATATAATGGACAACTAAACGACAATCAACCATCTTTTTTACTTTTTATAACATGGCTTTCACATCATTGGATGTGTAGATTTTAAATTTTTTTATCCATAAAAATTAAAATAAATATTTTCCTAAAAAATAATTTTCACTAACACCCTTTTTCACTTGAATCGCTATTCGTCGCTCTAAAATTTAAATTTTATCACCCTAAAACACAATAAATTTTATCAAGCACTTCTATCTTTCTCGCTTCATGGAAGGGGAAGCGATTCCACTTTTGAGTCCCCCACCAAACAACTAACCCAAATGAAAAAGGATGAGAAGAGAAACAAAAACAGAGCTTCAATAACAGAAGTGGTTCCCTAGAAACAAACACCAACTCCAAAGAGTATCAGTAACATATGAACAAGTTTAATTAATGGCGGCCCTTAAATCGCAGTCAGAACAGCCGAAGGTCCCAAACCCTTCGTTCCAACCCTGCATTTCCTTTGTTGATGAAAAATTGAAACCCAATCCGATACTCTTTCTTCCAAACGTTTGAATCGATGCCTCAAATCCCGACAAGACCCACAAGGTTCTTCTGTGGTGCAGTCTGGAGGATTTTCTAGAGGTGGGGGAGAGAGACTAGACTGATGAGGTACCTCATGTTGTGTACGAAGACTTGTTCTACCCCAATCGACTTCTTATCGCCCTCTCCCATAAATTCCTTCAAATCTCTGCTAATTTTGTTGATCTGACTCTGAATAACCGACTCTTTGGCAAGGCTGGCTTCATCCTCTTCTATTTTACTGCATAGTTCCTTCACTTGCTCGAGATCATTGTATCGAAATCTAGTTGGATACCTCCTTTCGATGATCGCTTTGTATTTTTCTACAATTCCATTGAAAAAACTCTCACTGAGACGGTCTTCTGAATGTCACTGATTCGGATTCAGTTGTGTCATAACACCAAAACTATCCCAAGCCTGTTGGAAATTCTCTTGATCTCTTTGTTGGAAGGTGACAATATCATTCTTCTTAATACCACCTATTAAACTGGCAAGATACCGATACACGAAAGTTTCATGACTTGACTCCATGGCGGGGTAGTAGCTTGAATTTCCTTATACTTGACGATAGGATCCCCTCACAGATTGTAAGTATAGAAAATACCATTAATTTGATCCTGAGTGTACCCTGATCTCTTTAAAGTTTTTGCAACACTTAAGAAGTATGACATATGATCAAGAGCACTTTCGTCATTCCCTCCCTGGAATTGAGGTTTTTGGCAAAGTGTATCAATAATCCCTTTCACAATGCATTCCAACTCGTTTCGATCCATGATGTATAGTCTATAAACACACAAAAACTCTACAACCCATGACGTACAAAGTTGGATAACAAAACACAAAACGATAAAACTACTAAAATGATATAAATACGAGCAAAGTAAATAAAGGCTAAACTAACAACTCGGTGATTTTCTACTAGTTACTGAGGTTCCCTGGAAATGGTGCCAAAAAGCTTGATCGTTTCATTCTGTGCAGGTCATTATCAATAGTTTGTACGTATGAATAACTACCCCATTCTAGGTTAAGTTTAACTTATAATGGCGTTGTCATATAGTGGCAATTAAAGTCGTATTCACTCAAGGCCCGGTACGCTAGCCTACTTCCCACGTTGTTGTTATCTAGCCGATCGGTTTAAGGGGTTGTGTTGGAGGATTCAAGTGAAATAACTAGTAGAGAGAATAAACAAGGATAAAAGCAGGTACATCGGGGAACTAACCCTCGCCCTAGCCTAGGTCTATCATGCAAATGTCTAAACATTTTGGGTTAAGCGAATGTGGTGAGTGAGCTCTTTTCCGTGGGCTTTTGTGATTATCCACACGCCTCCGAATATGCCCTACCTACCCCATTGCCACCTCGGTATAGGCTCACCTATCTATGTCCATAAGAACTGAGCTCATTTCAATGGGTACTATCCACCCTCCACACCTAGATTTCATCCCGGGTTCCATCTATAAAGGCGTTCTTGTGGCAGGGGTACGATCACCTCGTCCACCACAATACCCTATTCATTCATCTAACCCTAATCTGCCAAATGGAGCATACCCTTCTAACACTAAAACTCCATACCAAGCTTAGAAGCTCAAGTAGGCTAGTAGAGAAGATTAAGGCGACTTACCCAAGCACAATCAAAGTAGATGAAGCATTAAAATCAATTAGACAAATACGTTCATTCAAAACCCTAATATATTCATTCATTACATAATAGCCCTAAAACTAGGGTTTGGGGTTTAGATTCCTTAGTACCTTAAGAGACTACTCCAAAAAGGAGGGAAGAAGATACATATATAGAAGAATTTGGGGAAGGCTTGATGTTGAAGAACATTGCTCCTCTCATCTAGCTTCTCCTCCTTCTCCTTCCTTCAGCCTCTCTCTAAATCAGAAATTTGTATCTCAAAATCAACTCTCTTAAAATGGGGAAGAGGTCCTCTATTTATAGACTTTAGGGGGACGATTGATAGGGCAAAAGCGCAATGCTTGAATTTCCTATCTCGTAGTAAACCGGAAGTCCGGGTATCGTCTCTCAGGGACTGGTACAACCTTATGATTTATCAATTCTGTGGAGCAAACTATAGGTGAAACTGGTTTGGTTGATGAAATTATTATCTAATAGCAAAACAATTAAACAAAACAAGCAAATTAAAATGGTCGAGAGAAATTCAATGGGAGAAAGCTCTGGGAGAAACACCGGGACTCACTACCTATCCTATCCAGATTAATTCACATATTCCAATCAATTTAATCCAACTCTCTACAGCCAGTATATCACTACTGTGCTAGCTATCCCTGTCGGGAATTACTACGTACTAAACAATTAATTCAAATCCTACTGTCGTAGCTCAATGAATTAACTATATAGTCTGAAGATCGATATCCTATTTAAGACCGCATAGCACCTTATTTAATCCACTGTCACTTCGATAAGTTACTATGTCACATGAAACAGGTTCTGTTATTAGGGTTTCACTGTCGCTAATAACCTAATTAACTACAAATCGTTGTATTGGTGGCCAGTCAACACAAAAGCATTAAGTAATTTCATGCAATAGAGATTGGAAGAAAAGAGATATGAATTAATCCATCAAGTCTAAAAATAGTTGCATCCTATGGTGTTTCCCCCAGAAATTGGGGTTTAGTTCATGACGAAAATAAAACACACAATCATGTTCATAATCATCATGTTACGAAGCAAAGCAAAAGAAAACAAATACTAATAATTGCTTCCCGCTACTCTGCACTCGATCGCCGCAACAAGCTGCTCGCTCCGCCCAAAAAGAATTCTCGTTCTGCGCTGCCGCTCTCCTCCGCGCGACTCGTCTCCAAATAATTCCCACCCGAGACTTCGTCCGCTTCTGCTTTTTCCTTCTCTTATAATAACTAGCTTATTACCCGGCCCGTTGGCCGGATTACTGTATGTTACCCACTTGTGGAATGGGAGAGAAAGCAAGTGAGAGTGAAGGGATTGGGATTCCACTTGATTAGGACCGGCCCACTAATTCGATTCTTCCCGACCCGCCCCAACCTAAAGGGTCAGAAAGAGCCAATAAGAAAATACGAATGGAGAGAATTAGTAATATATCTTGACTCTTCAGAAGTGGGTCAAACAGGATAAAGGTTGGGTGAGGGCAATTTTTAGCGCTAAGCAGAGTTCTGGGTTGAATAACTTTACTTAGGCCTAGAAATTGGTGCTGATGCAGACTGCAGTTTTTATCATACCATCATCAATCATCATTGAATTAGTCCTGGGCATCCCTCCCCGTTGTCGGTCTGAATTTTAATGATGGATTCATTCCTTGCACCAGCCATATCAGTGAGTTGTCATCTCGAGCATGATTTGCCTATGTACAAATGATACAATTAGAGTATGAAACTGAATTCAAAGAAAAGGAAAAGAGAATTCTATCACATGCCAATAAATACACACATAATAGTTGAAGCTAAGTGAAAGTCATTACTCGCACATCAATTCTCAAAAATTACTGACTAAACAATGGCTAGAATGGCACTGAAACTACCAAGAATCATGGACGAAACAACTTGTCAAATTAAATAATCCTTATACTGAAACTACCTTCTAACTTGAAATAAGACATGATCACAGTTCATAGCACTCTTATCACTATGAATTGGTTGCAGCTCGTCCTTATCACTACCTCCCAAGCTCAATTCAAACAGAATAGACACAGTTATGTAAGATAACCATATCCTTACTGATCATAATTCCTTTCTTCACTCCATTTTTGTCGGAGAAAAGAGTTATCCCCCTCTCATGCATTTCCCTTTCCCCCTCTCTTCTCCCTCTTCTTCACAAACCGATCCCTAAACCAGCAACAACAACACAAAATAGCCTTCGCCTCTGCCATCTCCATCTACTGAACGCGTTGGTGGCAAGACAGGATTGCAGAAGCAAAATTTTCTAAAATCAAACTAAATTTTTTGAAGGAGACTCAACCACGAAAAAAGAGCAAAGCAACAATGCTAATAGTTCAGATGGTTGGTTTTGATGTTATACGTTGCTTTTGTTATGGTCTCCAGTGTATCAACTGCAACAAAGATGTTTCCTCCAATCATCTTTAGTGCACGATTTAGAAGTAAGTCCTCTTGTTTGTGTCAAACGGAAACATTCATGGGTTCTTAACTCCCCTGTTAGTGTAAATGCATCAGCAGCAAAGAAGTTTGACAACACAGCAAGCACCCAGGCAAAATGATACAATGCAGTAGGTGATATGTGTCTCAAAGGTTTTGAGTTACTAAAGTTCATGTTAAAAATAAACATGAATTAAAATGGATTATTCTATTAAGCAAACATCCCCTCTAATCATACAAAGATCAGATATCTAATTCACAAACAATTAAGCCATAAAAAATCATCACACATCCACCACCTTTGATTGCCTATATTTGGTTTTTCGCAAAGTTGTGGACTCTTAAGGGTAAAGTTCATGGGTAGTCTGTTTCATAACTCTAGAGAGCACAGTAAGCAGCCACCAACCAGACACAGTGCGGTAGGCGAATATGATTCTCAATTCACAATTTCTCACCACCGGAAGTAAGAACAGAACATAATAAGCGTAGCGTTCATGGGTGGTCTGTTTTATAGCACTACTACACAATTTGTTAAAAAAGAAAGAAAGGTATTTAGCATCACGACGGAACAACTTTTACAGGCCAACAACGACAACATGCTGCAACCACCAGAACTGGTATCACAACTCATAGGGAAAGTCAAAAGATTTACTCTTAAATTAAGTAGTTACAACATCGAGCAATCGTCAAGCACATACACCATCACAAAAGTCACAGAACCTGATTCACAAAGCATTCAAACATTTGAGGACATTTCTGCAAAGATACAACTTATATGTCTTTTTTCCAAGCCATTTCCATCAACATGCTAATAAATTTGCAATGCATAAAACAAATGGCCCAAAACTTGAAATTCAACCTGTTTGACCGACCCATGCCAAATTCTAATTATTCTTTACTTTTAAACTTTCTATTTGAAAATAAAAAAATAGTGAAAGAAAAAAGACGACTACAATTCGCCATTTGCACATCACTTATTCGAGAATAAAACCATATAAATTCAAAAGGAACTGAAAATGTTGAGGATCGTTTTAATGTTTAAAATAACCAAATAGATTTTTATGTTTAGTTTTTTACTAACAAATACCAAACGATTCCCTATAAAATACACTATAATTTGATCATTATGATGTCAAATAATTATAAAATATATATTTGAAATGATAAAAATTGGACTAATTGGGTTGGTCGAGGTTGAACCATTGAATAACTTTAAAATACATTATATTTTAGCCACTAAGATATAAAATAATAGCATAATATATATTATGCCAGAGAAAATAGCTTGTTTTAGAATGGCAAACCCATGATGTTCATTTGTTTTACTTGATGACCAAATCCCATGTAGGTCAGGCCCATTCAACTCTTTTATTTTATGGTTAGCGGTTAGCCCATTAGATACCATGCATTAGTCTATTGTTAAATTTTTTATTTTTAACAATAAAAAGGAATATTATTTTTGCCTTTTCATATATATTTTATCACCACGGATAAATAAAAGGGTATAAAGAAAAAAATTGACACTCCTTGACTCGTTTGAATCCGCATGTGTACGGTAAGTTGGCCCGTTCCATAGAGGAAAGAGAAAAAATTGACACTCCCTATTTTACCCTTCCTACAAACGCTCATGGAACAGGGAATTTGAAATGGGGGAAGAGTTTTTTCCACCCTGCTATTATATGTTTTTAATTTAAAAGGATACAACAAATGTACTTAGTGTGATTAGTTATGATCCTTGCCTTTTTTTAAAATGGTCATGGTTCGAATCCCAGTACATACCTTTTTAATGAATAAAAAAAGTAATTGTGAAGACCAAAATGTCCTTCCTACTTTCACTCTCGTTGCAGGAAATTTGAAATGGGGCTCCCGTTTTTCCCTTCGGTGTATTATATTATGTGTAGATTCCGCTCCTAGCAATTGATTCCCCCCACAATTCAATCACCCGCCACCAAAATAAAGTCCCCTTTGATTCCGTCCTTTTGACTCCGCCTAGAGACTTTGGGCCCAAATTAATTCCTCCACTAAAAACGTCTCACACTCCTCTTCCTGGCCCATGTCATTAATCCCCATAAGCCCAGCATTCGAGAATTGTTTGTTGGTGCAACTTCTTTTTCGTGTTTTCTTCACCTGTAATACATCAAACTCATGGCACTAGGCAGTAATGGTTTTTCAACCATTCTCGGATTAGCGAGCCCTAAAATAGCACCAATTTGCTAAAACATACCATGGATAATCACATAAAGTTCAAGAATCCGATATATTAAAGCCGATTATCACAACCCCACACTCAATTGTTGCTTGTCCCTAAGCAACGAGTCAAACAACACAAACACATAATCATCCACAACAATGACTCATTACAGACTCAACACTCAAAGCAAAACACAAAATTTCCTTGTACTCTTGTTGTAATCAGTAGTTTCTTTCTCAACGGGCAAGTTGTGCTCTAATGTTCATACCTTTCACCCCACACTCAAGGTCTTTACAACCCTTAACCATTGACTGATTCAAATCCATCAAAAACTCAAATAGCAACACTCAATTTCGATCGTCGGTAGTGGGTGATTAACAACTTATGGTGCAACAATTATTAGGAGAATCTAACCACATCAGTGAGGTGCATATCTCGTGAGGAAAATCTGGCTTACTCACACCAATCATAAGCAATTAACAAGGCATGAGTCTAAAAAACTAATGGGGGAAGCCTTTCGCAAACATGATTTTACTTTAAGCACATCACTACCTTTTATGACAAGGAGAGGCTTTCTCTCTTTCTGCTTTTGCTTGCCGAGTGGTCGTATTTAGTACAAGTGGGATTTGTTTCTTACTACCGGTGACCGAGCAAGAGCAATTTCTGCTTCTTAGCACTCGCATAAGGGCTTCTTCTTTTTCCTCGGTCCGTGTGGAGGGTCATTGCATCCTCTAATGGCACTTCACTCAACTGGGGATCGTACTTGATAAGCAACATCGTACGGTCGCGAACCGATTCTCAATTGAATCTTTCCTAATCCTCATGTGCAATGAGTGATTGCCTCACACGATTTTGGCATTTTTACCCACACTTTAATTGTTATGGCAACTTTCTTATATTTTACTTGTCAGGTAGTGTTTTCTTTTATGAAGATACATTTCACCCCATCATAAAACCATCAAAACAGAGAGACTCGTTGCAAAATCAAAAGCTCACAACTGATGCAAGGAAGCACGGTATCCAAACATGTCGAATGGTCAATGTTCTCCACCTAACTACTTCACCAAAAGTCATTACACTATCCTCACAAAAGAGAATGTTGCTAAAAGAGTTGTTCATTCAAAGCATATCAAGTCAGTCAAAACATTTAAGCTCATTGTGAAGAACCATGCAATTCAACACTAGTGGGGTGATTTCGATGATTTCATTCAAGCACAAACTCATTTCACACGCATCACAGTCATTTACATCATGTTACCACAAGAGTACAAGGTTTTGATTTTGATTTTTCTGATTTTTAGGTGTTTTTTAGCCATTAGCTTTGCACAGGCAGCCTGCTTTTTACACAGGCAAACTGCATCCAGTTTGGCTGTGCTCAACCTAATGGCATTTTTTTTTGGATTTTTTTTTGGTTTTTTTTTTAAATTTTTTGACCACATGACAAAAGTAACAAACAAACACTAAGACTCGCCACCCCACACTCAGGATGGAACATTGTCCCTAATGTTCAACTCCTACTCTAAACATGCACGGGTTTGACACAACTAAAAAGAAAAATAAAGAAAAGAAAACTTACCTTGGGTTGCCTCCCAAGAAGCGCTTGTTTAACGTCCTCAGCCTGACATTCATGGAGCTTTCACCCAATGGGTATGGAAAGGTATCCAGCATACCCTCCCGAGCAATGATAGAACGCATAACCTCCATCCAACATATGAGTCACCTCAGCAGGGCCAGGTGTGCGAAAATTGGGTATGACCTTCTTAGCTTGCATGTTGGACCCTTTAGTGAGGCGTAGGTGGTACTACAACGCCTCAAGCAGGTACTCTTCCTGTTTCAATGTCAGTGAAGAAGGAATAATAACAGGAAGATTGAAATCCTTACCCAAATATCTATACTTGAGGTGACCTGGCAAGGATTTCTGCCCTTGCTTTGACTTCAGACTTTCAGCTGCTAGGACATGTGATAGTTCTTCAGGTTTTCCACTATGCTAGGAGAATGAATTTTTCCTTTCTCGAGCTCCACTTTCAAAGTCATCAAATGCATCGTGATTATGATCAACTTGAAAGACATTAAAAATTTCCTCCTCCTTACCTACTCGGAATGTCAACTTGCCTCTCCCAACATCGATGAGTGCATCTCCAGTTGCTAGAAAAGGTCTCCCAAGAATGAGAGGCACTCCCCGATCTTCTTCCATCTCAAGAATCACAAAATCTGTTGGGAGAATAAACTTCCCCACCTTCACCAATACATTCTCCACCACTCCTTTAGGAATTTTTACTGATCGATCAGCCAATTGGAGAGTGATCCGAGTAGGCTTAAGAACATCTCCCAATCCCAATTTCTTGTAGACTGAGTATGGCATTAAATTAATTCCTGCTCCAAGATCACAAAGTGATTTATCGAACTCTCTACCTCCAATGACACATGGAATGGTGAAACTGCCCGGATCATCCCTCTTTTCTGGTAATTTATTCTGAATCACAGCACTACATTCAGAAGTAAGGGTTACCTTCTCTAGATCAGCCCATTTGCGCTTCTTTGTCAGCAACTCCCTTTAGAATTTAGCATATGTAGGCATCTGTTCAAGTGCCTCCGCCAACGGTATGTTGATATGAAGTTGCTTGAAGATATTCACAAATTTTTTGAAGTTTGGGTCTTCCATGGGCTTCATTAACCTTTGAGGGAATGGTGCGGGAGGTTCATAAGGCTTTACCTCTTCTTTCTTCAATTTTTCCACTTTTTGAGGTACACGGGCAGATTGCTTTTGCACAGGCAGATTGCATGCAGTTTGCCCGTGTAAGTCAGATTTTTCAGCTTTTGCACTTTCTTCCTCCTCTAACTCTGCAACTCCTTCTTTTTCAGATTTTGTTGACTTCCTTGAACTCTCTGGATCCTCCAAGGCCTTTTCACTCCTCAAGGTGACGGCTACAACCATGGCGTCCTTTGGATTCCTCTCGGTATTAGCTGGTAAAGTCCCAGGAATCCTGCCTTGCATATCTGCCAAAGTTTGAGCCATCTGGCCTATTTGCCTCTCCATAGATAGCATAGATGATCCCATTTCGGGAAGCATTATTCAGAGCATCTCGGAATTGCCTTCTGATTCCGTTGAAGAAACTGGAGATCACGTTCCAATCTTCAAGACCGTGGCTCGGGCATCTCATTAAAAGCTCCTTATAGCGCTCCCATGCCTCGGTCAGACTCTCGTCTTCAGCTTATTTAAAAGTCACAATTTCCTCTTGCCTCTTCATTGCCTTGGCAGGAGGAAAGTACTTATCCAAAAAGGTCTTCTCAA